AAGAAGAAGAGAAGGAAGAAGATAAAGAAAAAGAAACGAAGAAGAAAAAGGAGGAGGAGGAGGTCGAGAATGAGAAGTTATGGGTCCACTAACGTCTTTCATCTGCATTGCACTTAAAAATTTCAACAAACAAAATGAACAAATCTCTTTTATCTGAAAACTATGGTTATTCGTTACAACTTCAAAACGCTATCAGAATTTCCCTCACACCGAGAACTGTATTCAGCGGAATCTACGGGCGAGCACTTTTAGAGGGGATAGAATCTACCCCCCTCCCCGCTCCTTTACCCCCTAGCCTTGATTGCCTATGTGTGGGTTTTCTTGCGCTGAATCAGTGCTGACTTGTCGTTTCTTCCTGGGAGCCAGAACTTCCACCCGATGGTCGCTAGAGATCTGTTGCTAGGGATATGAGGGCCAGCCGACGTACTTACATCCTCCGATAAAACAGAAACAGCCAGTTTGAATGCGCGCCGACTTTTTCTGTCTGCAGATGTAAATATTTGTGCGTGTCTTGAAGCCCTACATTTCTGGAATGTTTGGTTGGTGGGGTGATAAAAGAGCTGGCTTTCGTAGACAGGTTGGGTGGGAGGGGGGGGGGGGGGGGTGGTTCATATATTTCTGTTCAGATTCAGTTAATTTTTAAAAAAGGTGTATTATCATAGTACTCTCAGGCAATCCGTAGATGGTTTGGTGGGTAATGTTTGTCTCGTCCAAGATTACAGTCTGTAGGATTACCATCTCAAGGATGAGAATCAAACCTTTACCAATCCCTGAAACCCAATTTAAACATATAGCCACATAGCACCCACCAACCGTATAGCCATATAGCACAGTTATATTGGGTCATCACACAACCGTATAGCAAGATTGCACAGTTTTATTGGGTCATTACACAACCGTATAGCCAGATTGTGCAGTTATATTGGGTCATTACACAACCGTATAGCCATATAGCACAGTTATATTGGGCCATCACAAAACCGTATAGCAAGATTGCACAGTTATATTGGGCCATCACAAAACCGTATAGCAAGATTGCACAGTTATATTGGGCCATCACAAAACCGTATAGCAAGATTGCACAGTTAAATTGGGTCATCACACAACCGTATAGCCAGATTGCACAGTTATATTGGGTTATCACACAACCGTATAGCCATATAGCACAGTTATATTAGGACATCACACAACCGTATAGCCATATAGCACAGTTATATTGGGTCATCACACAACCGTATAGCTAGATTGCACAGTTATATTGGGGGATCACACATTTGTAACTCTCAGAAACAGTTGCAATTTACTGAACAGAAATCGCCCAGTGACGCCATCAACAGTCAATCAGTGGTGTGGTTTGGGTTTACCAGGTCATGAAGAGGATAGGAAACGAAGAAGAAGAAGATGAAGTAGTAGTAGTAGCAGCAGCAGCAACAGTTGCAGTAGCAGCAGCCGCAGCAGCAATAGCAGCAGCAGCAAGAGGAGTAGCAGCAGCAGTAGTAGTAGTAGTAGTAATTGTAGTACCCCCCCCCCCCCCCCCCCCCCCCCCCCCCCCCCCCAAAAAAAAAAATGAAGAACAAGATTAAAGAAGGGGGAAGAGAACGAACGAACAAATGAACAATTTTATTTTTCAAGAGTCACAATTTGGGCACGCAGGCCTTCTTACATTATCAGAAGCAGCAACAGCAGCAACAGCAGGAGATTCAGCCGTGGTGTTGTGGTGGTGGTAGTAGTAGTAGTAGTAGTAGTAGTAGTAGTAGTAGTAGTAGTAGTAGTAGTAGTAGTAGTAGTAGCAACAGTAGTAGTAGTAGTAGTAGTAGTAGTAGTAGTAGTAGTAGTAGTAGTAGTAGTAGTAGTAGTAGTAGTAGTAGTAGCAGTAGTAGTAGAAGTAGACGAAGAAGAAGAGGAAGAGGAAGACGACAACAAAATGAATAACCGAAACATTTTTTATTCAAGAGTCACAAATAGGGCACTCAGGCCCGTCTTACTTTAGTAGTGTGTGTAGCGGCAGCAGCAGAAGAAAAGGGGGCTAATCGAATGGTTAGAGCGCATGGGTCTCAGGCTGGAGACCTGAGTTGGAATCCTTTGTAAAGTTGGCAATTTGTTTCTGTTCGGGGGGCAAACATTAAAAACTCTAACATGCACAGTTTGTGGCGACAGCACTAGCCATGCGACCTTAAAACCTCAGGCTCAAAGGCCCTTCCTGCCTACAGGGCTACAGTAGTAAATAAGGGCAGTGGTGGTAGCAAAGAAGAAAAAGAAAGAAAAAAAAAAGAAGAGGAGGCGAGGAGGCGAAGGCGGAATAAAACTGAAAAAAAACTCTAAGCATGTCCAGAGATGCTCCGATCTCCTCCTTAGTTTATCCACCAGCACATAGCAAGTAGCAACTATCTATGGGAGCCGCGGTAGCGCAGTCGATAAGAGGCTCGCTTTTAAATCCAGCTGCGACTCGCTGTAGTCCACGACCGGTGTTTGAAACCGGACGGTTTCCGGGGTTCACCCAGCCTCTAGTAATGGATACCCGAGTTAACACTTTGGGGTAAATGGAGGAACGTCGCCGTAGCTACAGAGTTACGTGCGGACGGTCGACACAGGCGGACAGTTTCTTATCAGCTGTTCAAACTGGTGGCAGAGCCCTTATGGTTTATAAGCGTGTGCAATGACGCTGGTTCACATCTCTCGCCTTTACCTTTAGCAACGATCTATGCCAGTCTTTGACACAATGGTGCCAACTCTGTCCCCAGCTTGTTTCTACAAAGACAGGGAATACCTGCACGAGGACACCTGGTTTCCACTAGAAAACAACGAGTGCCTGGAATGCCAATGTGCCAATGGCAAGGTTCTGTGTCAGTTCATTCACTGTGATAAATTCGGTAAGTGTTCAAAACGAGCATGTTTGCTGTTGTATCAGTGTTGGATTTCATTCATGTTGGGTCGTTTTGGATTCGATTATCTCTGGGGAAGTTTGGGACTGGATCCCTTTAGGGGTAGATTGGGATTGGATCCTTTTTGTGGTAGATTGTGATTGGATCTTTTTGTAGGAGATTGGGATTGGATCCTTTTTGTGGTAAACTGGGATTGGATCCTCTGTGGTAGATTGGGGTGGGGTCTTCTTTGGCGACGATTGAAAGATTGTGATTAGATTTCTGTGGTTGAGTTTAGGGATACTTCAAACTATCTGAGATAATGTAGGATTCGTTTCTCTTTTGAGCAACTTGGGATTGAATCTCTTTTGGGGTAGTTTTGGATTAGATCTTCTTTAGGGTAGAAGGGATTCGATTTCTTTAGGATAGTTTGTGACTGGATCCTCTTTATGATAGTTTATGATTAGATCCTCTTTCTGGCAGATTGGTAGTGAATCATCTTTGGGGTCGTTTGGGAGTTAATATCTTCAGGTTGTCTGAAACTAGATAATCTCCGGCTTAGAATGTGATTAGATCCTCGTCAGTTAGAGATAAAATGCCTCTTGAGTTAACTTGGACTAAATTCGTTACATATGAAATAAATAATTGTTAGGAGCAAAATAATATTATATAGTTTTTTTTTTATTTTGAAGAGTTTCGTCAGTGCTTCTGAAAGTGTAGAAATGAGAACTGCGGTAGGCGTGGCTAGTACTCGGGGAAATCAAAGTCTGTGTGGACCTGTTGTCCAGGTCAGCAGTGCTGTCTGGATATAAGCGAGTTATGCGATAATTTAGCCAACACTCCAATTGGACAATAAAGAAGGAAAGGACGAAACTGAAGCTGGCAATACCAGATAGATCAGTCAATCAAATCAACCAATCAGCAGGTCCAGTCCATTATGTGGCTTTTGTCATGCCTCTCCTGACAGTCTCTCTTTGTGTAGCAAATTCTCCAATCCTATCTCCTTTCATTTCCAGAACCTCTTCTGTGTCTTGTATCCATCCACTTTAGCAAAGGTCTGACTCTGCCTTATGTCCGAAAACTGTACCCTCCCTCGTTGTTCTTTCCAGGCCACCATGACGTTTTACATGGCCAGAATACCTCTGCTTGTGGGACAGAATGCTGTTTATGAGCCAATTCTCTCAATGCTCAGATAATGTAGGATGTCGATGTTGTGTACAAGACAGGTACATGGCGACAGATCTGTTAATGCATCTTCTTGCATATGGCTACTGAGATGCGGAGTTGGGTAAAGAAGAAGTTTCGAGAAGCACATGGGAGACAGTTCCAGTTGTGTAGCTGCACATCCTTTTGCGATAAAGACGATCCTGTAAACTTTTCTGACAGAGACTGAGCACTTATGGCTGATTCAAGTACACTGACTTTGACTCACCGTCATCATATATCTTTGAGAACTTTTCTTCGTCTTCTTCTGACTTTGATGTCTCAGTGGAGTGTCGGGCCTTAACCAGCTTCTATGAAGTAACTGAGTGACGTTTAACTCTACCAGGACCGCACAATAAGTGATAAACATCAGGTGACACAAAGTGCCACCATTCAGATGAGAATCCTCTAGGTGCGATTCCCAGAAACCCCGTTCACCCGTTAGGTTAGAGTCTCCCACAACAGCCGGGAGGGAGCTATAAAATAACACAACATTTTTCTTCTTCTTCTTTCGTTCGCTGGAAATAAATTATCGATATCTGCAAATCTGTCTCTAGTATAAACTTCACTGTCTGTTGTGATTCACTCAGCGACCCGTAAAGTTTGACTTACACCGGGGTTTCTCTTGGCCACAATTTTTGCCTTGATATGTTGTACCTGGGAGAGTCTTGGAGGACATGATCTGTTGTCTCAGGTGCTAGTCCGCATGTCCACATTCGCGTCTTACATTTTCGGTAAGTGGCTGCGAAGTCGATTGTGTCTTGTTCTAAGGTGTAGAATAATAACTTGCTCTGGTCTGTCCATTATATGGAAATGGTCTTTTGCCGGTTTTGGTGGCTTTCTAGTTGATTTGATTATTCCCTTCTTCTATTGATAAGAGAACACAAAATTGCCTCCCATACTGGGATGGAGTTGAGGAAGTAACTAAGAAGAACCGACATAGAATTTCTGTCCCAGCTATAGAAAAGAGCTGAAGATGAGTTAAAGAGTTTTTTACAAAAGGAAAGGACAGTTTTTCATGACTTCGGCATATCGGGTAAATGATGCTAGGCCAATATTTGCCAAAAATAAAAGAAGCGTTTCAAAAATAAGTAAATAAATTTGTCAGTAAAGGTCCCTCTTTACACTAGGTAGTTGCGTATCCCTTAAAGAACGTCGCAGAACCAACCCTAGTATTTTGTTGGCTATTGTGGTTTTTTTTTCTATTCAAAATTTACATTCAGTAGTGTGTCATTGCCCTGAACGGTTAGCTCTCGGTATAACTGTCGAAACCAACGCAAGACGTTCTGGTTCCAGATCGTCCGCAGCTGGGATCGAACCCGACACCCCGGCATTACGAAGGGTGTTCGCAACGCCTAAGCCTCAGACGCTGACTTGGCCACTAGAAGCACATCAAATCCATCACCCAAGCCACCCGAGAAGTGCAAGACAAATACAGAAAACCACGGCACTGGGCTACAACCTCGTACCAGTAAGACGACAACAGAAAGGAAAAAAAAATACATCGGGCATTTAACATTCGTTGAGTGATCACGTTAGCTGCCTAATCTATAAACGTACGAGATATTATGCTATTTCCTCTGTTCATAATGGCCATTAACTAAAAGATGTTGTTTGTGTATTGTAGATTCTGCAGAAACCAGGACGGCTGTAAGTATAACTGTGAAGTGCTTTCCTGTTGTGGTTGTGGTCAGAAATGTGTCAGCATGCACAGCATAACAGGCAGACATGAACTTGTTGCAGGTCCTGTCCAAAATATTATTCCAAACCTGACCTGACCAGCAGACTAAGACATTATTAACAACCAGCATGCAAGAAAGATGGCTGTTTGCCCACGTCAGATTTAACCCCCCACCCTCCCCACTTCACACCCGCCCCCCCCCCCCCCCCCCCAAACCATTTGATCCTCGTTTCTAAATGAATTTTCTGCATGGTTTTGTTCCCACAGTCTGTCTGATAATATCATTTCTAACTTTGTCTCAGATGGTTAAGTTGGCGGCTTTTCTCATTCATCTAGTTTCACAGCTGTTGATTTTAACTAGGTTAGCTTTTAATAATGTCCAAGTCTGGCACTGGTAGTACAGTGCTGGTTTGAATATGCTGTTTGTAATCTGTTTCTTGGCGCTCATACTCATGCTTTGATGTCCTAATAACGGGTCGCTTGGTATATAAGTGCACTGGCTCGCTGGCATCTTGTTTCTTTTTCCCGATTTATTCTTCCGTCCTCCGAGAATATCATCATCATCAGGTGCCTTGCCGACTGGTGTGGACGATCATGCCTCTCCATAATCTGCGATCTCCTGCAGCATGTATCAGTTCGTGTGCCGACACACCTCCATGCCATGCAACGAGACTGTCAAGCATCTTCTTTCGTTGTCTTCCTCTATCCCTCCTTCCACAGATCTTTCCAGTGGTCACAACATGTTCTATTTTTCCTCTTCTCATAACATGGCCAAAAAATGATGACTGTCTCCTTCTGATGTTTGTGATAAGTTGTCTTTGGCCTCCTGCCTCTTTCAAAATCTTCTGGTTGCTCTTTTTGGCTGTCCAATGTATTCTAAGCATTCTTCTGTAAAACCACATCTCTGAGGCCTCTAGAAATTGTTTGGCCTGTCTACCGATTGTCCAGGATTCACAGCCATATGTTAAAACTGGATGTATGTAGCAAGCAAAAATTCTTTTTCTAACTCTCAATGACAAGGATATATTGCCCAAGATGTTTTTCATTTTATAAAATGCAGTTTTTGCCTGTCCTATTCTGTTTCTTATCTCAGTTTTGCATCTTCCATCTGATGTTATCCATGTGCCCAGATACTTAAATTTCTGTTTAAATTTCAAATCCGAGAATATACTTCCTAGATATTTAAATTCTTTAACTTGCTTCAGACCAAGTACCATTCAGCCCGATATGTAGCGGACTAGGAATTCTGCTGACATGCATTACTTCAGTTTTAGTAGTATTCATATTCATGTTATATCTTCTGCATGTTGATCTTAGCCTGTTCAAATGGTCTTGCGTTCTATTCCCCTCACTGTAGAACAGGTATTTATCGTCTGCAGATAGTAGTTGATGTTTTGTGTGTGAATCTAATTCTTCTTTTGGAGAGTTCTTAATTTTCTGGACTATCTGGGTAAAACGCTTTAAAGCTGGCTTCTTTTGGTATTCTGTCTATGAAAGTAGTAAATAAGAGAGGAGAGAGCATACATTGCTGTCTCACCCCTGTATTGATTGTAAACATTTCAGATATGCCTTCTTGTGTTCTCCCTGCGCTTTGGGAAGTGTGGTACGTGGCCACGATGTTATCTAGCTATCCTTGAATCCCATAATCCTCAAGAATAGCCCATAGTTTGTTTCTATATACTCTATCAAAAGTTTTTCCTTGATCGACAAGAAAGTGTATCCTATTCAAACTTAGAACAGGGAGCTCACGAACATATGCTCACTTGTGTGTGTGGGTGTGTGGAAATGCAGAGATTTGTCCCTGCAGCTTCGTCTCTGATAATGTGGAGCATGTGTTCCAATACTGTGAAGTGTAAGCTGCTAACAGATAACTAGTCTGGTCTGTTCCCACCTCAATCAATACAGAGCTATATGGTTCACATGAACATTTAAACTGCACAGTTGCTTTCAACAAGGCTTCTAGCCGCCTGATTTAAGTGTTTTTGATAGAAAGTTTGAAGACCAAAAAAGACACACAGTCCCATCTTGATCCCCTGCCTCAAGTATTTTTACACCCAAAGTATCTGTAATGTCTTGTGTCCATCCTAGCAGTGGTCGACGCCCATCTCTTCTTCCATGAACCAAGCCTCCTAGTCTTGTATTTCCCAAAATCACTGCATCCTGTAATATGCCCTAAATATTTCCGTTTCTGGGGCATGGTGCTGTTTAGAGTCATTTTTCTTGCGTGCCCAGGCAGTGCCTGACCTCCTCACCCACACACAACAGCTGGTTGAACCTGTCTGGTGAAGTCACTACTAGTGCCCTGATTATAACTGTTTGGAGGTTGAATGGGATATCAGGGATCTGCCGTTTGGTCTGCCATCCGAGTTTATGATGTCTCCAAGTGTCAGATCTTCAAGTTGCAGATTGGAGGGAGTAAAATGAAATATAATCCCTGTTCTTGTCTTGTAACATTTTATTGTTTTCTTTTTCACTTTTACACTTATGTAGACACAAACTTATACACAGACACTGACATAGAACGAGAGAAACCACCCACAACTTTTTAAATGTTAAATACTAAAGCAGAAACGTACTCTCATCAGTTAAAAAGAAAAGTAGAAACTAAAGCATTTGTGCTCTGCCAAAGTTTACACAATTCCACATCTGGTCATTCATGAAAAGCTTGGCATTTATTTGGTTTACTTTTCCTGTGAATCCGACAACAAGATTATTTGTGCCTGGTTGTACAGCTGTGAAAGCTTGGTCTTAGCAGACTTTTTTTTTAAAAACAATTAGAAAAAAAAAAACAAGAAAAAAAAACACATCATCATAAAATATTTACCAGAATACATTTTTTTTTCCAATTCTAGTTTCATTTATTTTGTCTTACTGTTCTACAACCCCCTCCCCTTTCCCCGGTATTTGAATCTGTGACCTAGATTCTTCATTCTGATAGTCATTTATTTTTAGCACAAGAAATGCCAGTGATCAAATAACAGGAACCGAACTAAACATTCTGAGAACCTTATTTGTTTTCCTGTGTCATAGCACAAAAATGAAAAACATATACTCTGAGAACTCGATGAAAAATATATATCCAATTTATAACAGGGAGGAACATGATATATTTTGTGAAAATTACTGCTGCTGCGAATACTGCTGCTACTGCTGCTGCTATTACTACTACTACTACTACTGCTTCTCCTGTTACTGCTACTACTGCTGTATTACTATTACTGCTGCTGCTGGTACTACTACTGCTGCTGCTTCTGCTGCTATTGCTACTACTGTTGCTGCTGGTACTACTATTACTTCTACTGCTACTACTACTGCTGCTGCTACTACTGCTGCAACGGCTACTACTATTGCTACTGTTACTGCTGCTGTTGCTACTAATACTCCTCCTGTTACTGCTACTACTGCTGTATTACTATTACTGCTGCTGCTGGTACTACTACTTTTACAACTGATGCTGCTGCTGCTTCTGCTGCTGCTGCTATTACTACTACTGCTGCTGATGGTACTACTATTACTACTACTGCTACTATTACTACTGCTGCTGCTAATACTGTTCTACTATTGCTACTATTACTGCTACTGCTGCTACTACTGTTACATCCAAATTGGCTGAAGCTGGACCTAAAGAGATAACGTTTTAGGTATTTCATTGTCAGTAACCTTGTATCTAGAAAGAATAAATATATGGGTTCCAACTGACCGAACGTTAACCAAGACTTTTATGCTAACGTGAAAGCAGCTTTTTCTACAGAATCACATGAACACTTTACTGTGTAATTATTCACTGTGTTTGTCCAGCTCACTTTTAAAAACTTTTGTATTGTTTTGTTGTTGCAGCTCCTTGGGGAGGCACTGACCGCTCTCAGGGTAAGCCAAGCTTTGTGTGTTTATGCTATTATATAATGTTTGTAATACAACCCATCGACTGTATGAGAATTTAACCTGTGATTATAAATGAGTTTACTCAAAATACCCATAGTGAATTGCAGATGGGTAGAAGATGTAGAGGCTGGCCTCTGCTTTGATATAAAGAAGTATGCAAGTGGGACATGAATGATACAGGTACTAGGGTGATTCATGGGAGCAGGATGCCATTTACCATGTTGCAGGAAAGGAGGAAATCAGAAAGGAAAAAAACATATAAGAGAAAGTGATTGCAGACAGGTTCAGTTCTGAGCTTCTGAAGAGAAGTTCATTCTATACTTACAATGACAACAAAGGTACTGAAATTGTATACTTTTCTTTTGGGAGATTTTTCTTAACGCAAGTAGGTCATGCTAGTCACGCTCACCATTATCATGTGCTGTGAGTCACCGTGCCTCAATTTAGCACACTTTAGCACTATCATCTCGGTGCGGTTCACGATAACCGTGACATTCAAATTAGGTTACGCACTGCGCGCCGTTTCATTCATAAATCATTGGACTGCTCTGGGGCATAGGGGTGTGAGCTAATTCTAAGTTATTTCGTGGACACCACTGACGATGTGTGATGTTGCGGCATGTCGCTGTTCATTGCGCTGCCGTTCTGTGAGCAACGCATTGAGTCGCAGTTCACTCGCTTGACACAGGTGAGATGTCCCAGGATAGACTCACACTCACACCCCTGTGACCCAGAAGAGTCCAAGAAGCTATGAATAAAAGGTTAACGTCATGGTTACTGTAAAAAACATCATCATCTCTGTAGACAGGGCACCAGTTATAATTGAGTTATTGTACAGAATATAATGTAAGCAAAGGGGTGGTTTAGAAAAATACATGGACATAAAAATTCACTAGAATATTTATATGTAGAATATGTGTCCTTATAATTTAACAACTGTGAGATAGAGACTTCATACAAGAAACTATAATTTTTAAAAATCTGAAGATGAAGAGTTCTGATTCTCAGAACAGCACAAGGTTTTGGAAACTGAAATAATTTTATCATGTTAAACATGCAGCAATTTAGAAAAAAAAAAGTATTGGAGGCCGCAGTTCTTCAGAATTAAAGTGGAAACTGGACATAAAGGAGCAACACTGGCCATGAAAATATGTGTGGCAGGGACATTTTAGTATGTTTAAAAGAAAAAAACATGTCATTTAGTTAGTTGCATATCCTTTATAGGACTTTGCAAAACCAACCATATAATTTTTTTTGCTGTTGTGGTTTTTCTAGGCGAATTTACATCCTGTTGTTGGTACTCACCATAAAATGTCTAAAAAAAAAAAAGATGCCGCTACTACCCATAAAGTGTATTACAGCACCAGTGAAAAAGACACCTAAAATGATGCCAGTACTGACCATAAAGTGTCTTACAGCAGCAGTGAAAAAAGACACCTAAAAAGATGGCAGTACTGACGATAAAGTGTCTTAAAATGGCGCTGAAAAAAAAAGACACATATAAAAGATGCAATTACTGTCTACTATCAAAAACTCTGGGACTAAGTGTCTTTCTCATGGGCTATTGGTGACATTTCCTAAAGGATACACCATGATGATGAAAGGAAACAAGAAAGATATAAAGCAACAACTGAGGCAGAGTCAGTTAACATAATTACCAGCTGGGGGGACAGAAGGTTTATAACAGTCTGTAATGTAAGAGAGTTCACAAACGCACTGTGAGTTGTTTAGGACTGAACGAGTTAACCCCAACACCTAAATCTTTGACACTAATTATAAATCCTAATTGGGCTCTTTAGTGAACAACAGTGGAAACTGCTTCTGCTCGAAAGCATCAGAAGAAGATCTGCCCTAGCAATGCAGAGATTAAACAGCATGAAGAACCAATGGCAAAGAACTAGTAAATTAGTTAAAGTAAAAATCTTGAGATCATGCATTTTTCCTGTGGCAACTGCAAGTTGTGAGTCCTGGACTCTCACACAATCACTGAAGAAAAAGATTGGAGCTTTTGAATTACAATTTTACAGACACATTTTCAGAATACCATTGATCAAGAATAGGAAAAACATCAATGTTCTACATGAGTTAAAGATCAAGAAGAACTGGCTGGTAAACAGTGTTTTGTCCCAAAAGTTGAATTATTTTGGCCTCATCAAACGTCATGGTGTCTTCGAAAAGACGGAGATGGGGGATGCAGTTTGTGGAAAATGAGGCAGAGGTCAACCTCCACAAAGATGGAAACATGACATTGAATATACAATGGCATTGAAAGCACATGGGGCTGGAGAGCTGGCTAGGGAAAGGGATACTTTCAGGCGTGCCGTGAAGAAAGCGACGTTCTATAGAGGACTTGCTGACTGATGATGACCAATTATTCACCATGCCCCTAAAACCCGACTAATTGACACCAAATGTTCACAGGGTCAGGCAGGTCCCCCTGGCAGTCCAGGCTACCCAGGCAGACAAGGAGAGCCCGTAAGTTCATTGTAACGTCTTTGGTGTCTGTACAGTATAGTATTGTTACAGTAGTATCATATTTCTACTGTAGTTTAGTATTGTTACAGTGTAGCATTGCTACTATAGTATAGTATTGATATTATAGTAGATTTTATTACAGTATAGTATTGCAGTATTGTATTGAAGTATAGCACTGATATTATAGTAGATACTGAAACAGTATAGTTTTGTGGTGTAGTATTGATCTTATAGTAGATTTTGCCACAGTATTCTATTATTACTATGGTATAGTATTGTTACTGTAGTATAGTATTGTTACAGTATTGTGTTATTACAGTACAGTATTTTTACTTCAGTATTGTTCCTTTGGTATTTTTACAGTATAGTATTGTTACTATAATATAGTATTGTTACTGTCATATAGTACTGATACTATAGTATTTTTACAGTATGGTATCGTTACCATAAAATAGAATTGTTACTATAGTATTGTTGCTATAGTATTTTCACAGTATAGTATTGTTTCTATAATATAGTATTGTTATTATGATATAGTGCTGATACTATAGTATTTTTACAGTAAAATATCGTTACCATAATATAGAATTGCTACTATCATATAGTACTGATACTCTAGTATATTTTGTTACTGTCTAGTATTGTTACTTTAGTCTATACTTTGATAATTATGTGTTTTCCATCATTTGTCCCCAGGGAGATCCAGGTCCTGATGGGGTCAATGGGATCCCCGGAGCCTCGGGTCCTGCTGGATCTCCTGATATGGTAAGTCTGAACAGTTGTATTTCAGCCTCATGATCTCAATAGCACTGACCTCACTACAGGGTAAGTCTGAACAGTTGTATTTCAGCCTCATGATCTCAATAGCACTGACCTCACTACATGGTAAGTCTGAACAGTTTTCAGTATTTCAGCCTCATCATCTCAATAGCACTGACCTCACTACATGGTAAGTCTGAACAGTTGTATTTCAGCCTCATGATCTCAATAGCACTGACCTCACTACATGGTAAGTCTGAACAGTTGTATTTCAGCCTCATGATCTCAATAGCACTGACCTCACTACATGGTAAGTCTGAACAGTTTTCAGTATTTCAGCCTCATGATCTCAAGTCTAGCACTGACCTCACTACTACATGGTAAGTCTGAACAGTTGTATTTCAGCCTCATGATCTCAATAGCACTGACCTCACTACATGGTAAGTCTGAACAGTTGTATTTCAGCCTCATGATCTCAATAGCACTGACCTCACTACATGGTAAGTCTGAACAGTTGTATTTCAGCCTCATGATCTCAATAGCACTGACCTCACTACATGGTAAGTCTGAACAGTTGTATTTCAGCACATGATCTCAATAGCACTGACCTCACTACATGGTAAGTAAAAGTAAGGGACCCTTTAGGCATATTGGGCATATAGAGCTATATTTAACAGACCAGTTGGCACTCTGTGGTTGATGTGGTCAAACTCATGCTAGCCACCTTTACTTCCCAGGACAATCCCTTGTACCCATTTAGGGATGGGTCGACCTAGAAGCCAAGGCCTTTTTGAAAAAGGTCCAGCTATGTCAGGACCCGAACCCACGACCTTCAGATCTGCAGGCGAGCTTCTAGCTACTACACCATAGCAGCTCTTTCACTGCATGGTAGAGACCAAATCAAACACAGCATCTTTGCCTGCCTGAATGAGGCTATACTAATTTTCACAAGGAGATATGGACTGCCCCATAGCTTTCATAAAGGCTACCACCTCCTGATGAAAGTTTTCTGCAGCAACAGCAGCAGCAGCAGCAATGCCTTGTTTTATTTTCTGGAATGTCATATTCGTCTTCATCATCAATTTTAGATTGTTTGTTTTTTCTGATGCAGGCAGTTTTATTCATGAGACAGTTTCTTTCAAGACATCTTCATTAGTCTTTTTAATTTGTTTTTTAATTTTTATAAATATAAATCTGTCCGGGCTGTTCTTATAATTCGTTATAAAACCACATCTTTTAAAAAATAGTTCACTAATCCAGTACCAAACAACACAGGATCTGACTGTCTGACTGTCTTCCACCTCTGGGTTAATTTCCGAAGATTGACAACTGAGATTTCAAAATGGCAGACCAACAGGGTAAATCCCAGTCTAGTATCTGTGTCATGGATGGAATCTAGTCTAATACCTTTGGCCACTTTTAGAGTTTCCCCTTAGATATGCAGATTTACTCGATCCTGTCCAATCCTTTTATGTCATGGATGGAATCTAGTCTAATACCTTTGGTCACTTTTAGAGTTTCCCCTTAGATATCCCCATTTACTCAGTCCTGTCCAAACCCTTTTATATCAGGAATGGAATCCAGTCTAATAACTTTGGCCACTTTTAGAGTTTTTCTTAGATATCCTCATTTACTCAATCCTGTCCAATCCTTTTGATGTCATGGATGGAATCCATGCTAGCACATGTGATCTCTCTTACAGTTTCCCTTGAATATCCCCATTTTCTCAGTCCTGCCCGATCCTTTTGATGTCATGGATGAAATCTGGCCTAATTCTTTTGGCCACTTTTAGAGTTTCTCTTGTACATCCTCATTGACTCCCTTTGTTTTCCACACATAACTAAGTATTTTAAATGTTATTAATCAAATTATTTAAAAATTTTTTATTGACTGTTTAATTAACTTGACTTTCTTGTTTCCTGACAACTTTATTTACAGTCAGCTGACGACGCATTCAGGGCATACTACCCACATGCTTTCTCCGTCAAGGCAGGGGGCAGTGCCTTCCAACCCAATTATCTCCAGGCACAAGTAGTAAGTGTTCATTTCTTTGTCAGTTTGTTTTCCTTTTTTTCTTCCTATCGTTTTGTTCTGTTGCTGTGATTTGATATTTTATCCATTGAAAAAGGGCCATCAAGTCTATCATAAATGAACAGAATCTGACCAGAAATGACTACCGCTTACTCGACCCACATGGGCAGGTCATCATTCTACAACTCAAGACAAGACATAACAGGCCTCAACAAGCATATGCACAGGCTTCATCTGAATAGTTCACAATCCTGCAAGAATGTCTCTTGTACAGCCCATTAAGAAGGGAATACTGGCCCACTGAGTCAACACCGTACTCAAAGTTGTATGGAACTAAAAGTGAACACCTAAAACCTGTAGATTTTGTCATAAGAACTCATCTCTCGTTAAATCAGGAAATGGTCATAAGAAAAAGAAGAAGAAGACGAAGAAGCAGCAGCAGAAGAAGACAAACAACTAGAACAACAACAAGAAAAGAAGATCCATGAAAAGAAGGTAATGATTGCAGCCTTGAGGTGGCTTGCTGAAATTCTCCTTAGTCTTCTTCCTAGCATTTGCCAGCTGTCAACTGCTGGAAAGTTTTTGGTTGTTCATCCACTTCTGATGTTACTCTTTTTCAGAACTTGATTTTTATGTGCACATCAGTTTGACAGATCTGCTCATTTGTATGCAGACTGTTGGTTCCACAGCTCTTAGGCACATGCCCTTTGACTTGGAGGAAAAAACCTGAATTACTTGCCTTTAATGACATTCCCAGGGAGGGAGTAAGCTTTCCACTCCTAAAATCCCTGTGGGGAGCTAAAATTCAGATCATTAGAGCAAGTAATGTATCTAAGTCTGAACTAAGTAATGTGTCTGGTCTGTACTGAGTAGCTTGTCTGACTCTTAGTCTGTACTGAGTAGTTGTCTGACTCTTAGTCTGTACTGAGTAGTTGTCTGACTCTTAGTCTGTACTGAGTAGTTGTCTGACTCTTAGTCTGTACTGAGTAGTTGTCTGACTCTTAGTCTGTACTGAGTAGTTGTCTGACTCTTAGTCTGTACTGAGTAGTTGTCTGACTCTTAGTCTGTACTGAGTAGTTGTCTTGACTCTTAGTCTGTACTGAGTAGTTGTCTGACTCTTAGTCTGTACTGAGTAGTCGACTGTCTGACTCTGAGTAGTTCTGACTAAGTCTGAGTAGTTGTCTGACTCTTAGTCTGTACTGAGTAGTGTGTCTGACTCTTAGTCTGTACTGAGTAGTTGTCTGACTCTGAGTCTCTTAGTTGTCTGTACTGACTGAGTAGTTGTCTGACTCTTAGTCTGTACTGAGTAGTTGTCTGACTCTTAGTCTGTACTGAGTAGTTGTCTGACTCTTAGTCTGTACTGAGTAGTTGTCTGACTCTTAGTCTGTACTGAGTAGCGTGTCTGACTCTTAGTCTGTACTGAGTAGTTGTCTGACTCTTAGTCTGTACTGAATAGTTGTCTGACTCTTAGTCTGTACTGAGTAGTTGTCTGACTCTTAGTCTGTACTGAGTAGTTGTCTGACTCTTAGTCTGTACTGAGTAGTTGTCTGACTCTTAGTCTGTACTGAGTAGTTGTCTGACTCTTAGTCTGTACTGAGTAGTTGTCTGACTCTGAGTCTGTACTGAGTAGTTGTCTGACTCTTAGTCTGTACTGAGTAGTTGTCTGACTCTGAGTCTGTACTGAATAGTTGTCTGACTCTTAGTCTGTACTGAGTAGTTGTCTGACTCTGAGTCTGTACTGAGTAGTTGTCTGACTCTTAGTCTGTACTGAGTAGTTGTCTGACTCTGAGTCTGTACTGAGTAATGTGTCTGACTCTGAATCTGTACTGCCTAAAGTTCAAAATGTGGAAAGATGCGATGAGTTAAAGTCTAGAGTATCAACTTCATTGTGTTGCACTTTATCCAATATCCTCATTCTATCTGTGCATAATGGCTAGCCATTTGCCAAGAGCATCACACAATGCACAAACTTCATAGCTGCAGCAACTGTCATCGAGGATCTCTATAAAAACTACACTTAGAAACTGAATGCCATGACTGGGAAATGAACCCACAACCTTCAGAGTGTGAGGCTCCCCAAGGGGGTTCTGGGACCCTATTGAGAAGGAGGGGGTATAGACCCACTACCTCCCTATTTGGTATTTTGTAAAAGATGACTAATTATGGATGTTTCCTCCGAAGGCAAAGCGTATTTGCTGAGAGGTGAAGAATCAACAGTCATATAAGTAAGACAGATCTGTAGATGAGTGTTGTGTACAAAACCAGGTTGTGGAACAAGACTAAAGTCCAGGAGTGGATGAACAACCAGAACTTTCCGTCAGAGTTTACAGTTGGTGAATCCTAAGAAGAAGAAGATGAGAAGAAGAAGAAGAGGCAAATGGCTGGACCACTCTACCACAGAGATGATGAAGTGTGTAGATTTCAAGCAGAGACAGAAGTACACATTTAACCCCGTTAATGATTTCTGTATTCCTGTAGGGACCAATGGGTCCCCGAGGTGGCAGTGGAGCCCCTGGACCCCAAGGACCCCCAGGTGTGACAGGACAGCGGGGTGAACCCGGTGACCCAGGCCCTCCTGTAAGTATATTTCTGTGCAAATTTGTAGCTGGTTGTTCACGTCTGTAGGCTTAGATGTTGCCAACGTGCTTTGTAATGCTGGGGTGCCTGGTTAAATCCCAGTTGTCGATGATTTGTCTAAGCCTGGTTTTCAACAGTGGTACCAAGAGCTGAAACTTCAGGAAGCAATGGCAAACTACTAAATGTAAAATTTGCTAAGAGAAAACTACAACATTCAAAAAAAAAAAAATGCTGAGACTGATTCTGCAACGTCCTGTAATATAGGCAACTAACTTTAACAGTTGCAGTCAACTGGGTTGTTCTTCATTTTGCTTTTAGCATTCTGAGCCATAAAGGTTATTTATTTTTTAGTTTATTTCATGCAGACATCACCGACCTCTATTCATCTCTTTGACTGGCCTTCTCTTTCCAGTATTTGTAGGTCCCAAAGCTAAATTATAAGTTTTGTGTTGAAAATGAGGTATTATGAAGGTCAAGGTTTCAGTTCCACTCTTCAACCCCAGGTGTCTCTCTTTGTCTGCTCTTTACCCTTTGACCTGTTATCTATCCTTTGACTTGTCGAGCTTGGGAGGCCCTGATGGTAGCTGTGCTATAGCTGATATAGCTCTCAGGGTAATTAAGAAGCCCAAACTCACCGACAATATATATCATGGTGGAACACCTTCGGAGGAGAGACTGATATCTGCTGTGATGTTGGCCCAGAACCTTCTTGTTTTGCTTTCATTCTGATTAACGAAACCAGGCTGGTTTAATTTGTGGGGAATTATTTACATTAAAAAATAATCACCATATGCTTCCTTTGATTTCTCTTTGGGGGAGACTGAGCATTTGTGGGTTTGTTTTAAGTGCACATATATTGTCAGTGTAAAGATAGTTCTATAGCAGATAATGTCATAGAGGACTGAGGTGTCAAGTCTTTGCATTTTCTAGGTTGTGGTATAAAGAATTGTTCTCAGAAGACTGTAAAGACTATCACTGAAGGATAGAAAAACAAAAGAAGCAGTGCTCGATAAGGCAGATAAAAGTCACAAACTCATCAGAACAGTTAGCCATAGATATTCAATGTTTGCCGGACATGTTATGAGAAGGGATGGACTTAAGAACTTTGATTGATGGAAAGAGAGCAAGAGGAAGGCAAAGAGATAAATACCTGAATGACCTGGCCAGCTTGATGGGACGAGACAAAAACATTGAACTGATCCGTGATTCTGGTGATTGTATGAGATGGTGAAACATGACAGCCTGTGCTTACCAGCACAGCACATGATGATGATATAAAACCTGGTAACAGGAAGCTGTGGACCATACTGTGTGTAAGGAGAAAACCAGAAAGTGTACTTTGCAGTGAGTGGCTACTGCTTTGGCCCATTTACCAGCAGTGACATCAGTTATGTTTGAGAAAACCAGAAAGTGTACCTCACAGTGAGTGGCTACTGCTTTGGCCCACTTACCAGCAGTGACGTCAGTTATGTTTGAGAAAACCAGAAAGTGTACCTCACAGTGAGTGGCTACTGCTTTGGCCCATTTACCAGCAGTGACGTCAGTTATGTGAGGAAAAGCATGTTGAATATATGGGATGGCAACAATCACTCTGAAATCTCATACACAGGGTGTAGTAGACTGACTTTTAAGGACTTTTAAGGTAGCTGATCCTACCAAGTTATTATCCTGTGCCTCAGAATATGACACACCCAATTACGTAACCACATGTACACACAATTTAAGATAGGTGTATCAGCCATGTGCACCTGTGGAAAGTTGCCACAGACAGCAGAACACATAATTTAGGACTGCGCTGAATACAACACATTATGGCATACCTTCTGGACAGAAAGAACAACAGTGAAGCATAGACTCTACGGACCAATGAATCAACTAAAAACAACAGTGAAACATAGACTCTACGGACCAATGAATCAGCTAAAAACAACAGTAAAATTTGTATGGGAGACAAAAATTGCTGATATAAACAGCCTATTTCAGGTGAACGAAAAAAGAAAAGGAAAAATAGTAGCGGTTTAATAACTACTTTCAATAATTATTTACAGGGACCTTTTGGGAGCCGTGGCATACCAGGTCCTCCAGGACCTCCAGGACTTGAGGTAAGAAAGATGAATATTTGTATTTGTAGGTATATAGCATGTTAGTTGTTTCAATAATTTGTCCTTAATTTGCATGTTTCTGAATTGAAGTATGACTGGCTGAATGGTTAACAATGCAGAGATCTCATCTGAGAGTTCCAAGTTCAAAACCTCAGTAAGGTAATGGATTTTTCCTGCCAGGGCAAAAAAACATTCTAGCCTGACAATTTGTGGCAACTGCACTAGCAGTGTAGACCTAAATCCTCAACCCCCCCTCCCCCCTCTCCCCACCACGCCTCTATTTTTTTTAAAAACACAGCATTAAAAAGTGGGTACAGACTTTGCTTGCTATTTCTTTATCTATTCTGTTACACTCTTCACTGTTTTGCTTTTCATTTCTCCTTTCAATGTCTTTGGTTTAAGCATTGAGGACATGCTCCATAATTCTGAAGTACCCAGTTTGATTCCAGCTGTGGACATTTTGACAGCAAACCAGTTTGTGTTGATTTCAACAGCGGTATGAAGGATCGACTGTTCAGAAGCAGTGGCAAACTACTTAGCTAATAATTGCCAAGTGAAATCACAAACAGCTAGTAGATGCTAGGGTTGCAGTGTCATGTACAGGACATGCAGCTCAATTGTCTTTTTTTTTTATTTTTCATCCACCAGCTGCACATTTTAATTTGTCATAGATTTTTTTTTCTTGCAATTCAGTGTTAGGCTTCAATGTTAGGCAGTTTGAAATTACAGCTGTAGGGTCAACTGTAGCTGAAGGAATGAATGAACAAACATTACTTCCAAAGGGTTCCAAATTGGGCACGCAGACTTGTATTACATCAAGAACTTCCAAGCATTGATCTTTCATACATCAGTTGCATTTGATATATTAAGCACATTATGTTTATATATCAGAATTTACGGTATAAATGTTAATTAAAAATGCAAAGACATAAATGACAAATGCTTACCTTCCATTGTATCAGCAAGAAATACTACACATTGCAGATACACAGAAGCACACACCCATCACCCAGAGCAAACACCTTGATGACACACACACGTGCACACACACACACACACACAATATAAACAAGCTTACACACAATCACAGCTAGAATACATACATAAAGACACAACACATACACACAGACCCAACACACATACAGTGGCACAACACACAGTCACCACACACACACACACACACACACTCACACTCACAGACACAGCACAGCCAGACATAACACTCCCACCACACCCCCCACAGACACAACACTACAAATTACACATGACAAACACCAAACACAGCATGAACTATATGAAGAAACTGCAAGAGATGACAATATAAGCATTTTTATCAATGCTCAAGTATTTTTTTTTAAACAATACTCATTTTATTATCTGTATGTGTTATTAGAAAAAAATTTTTTTTTCAAATCAAAGTTAAGTAATTCTCATACAGTAGCAATTTTAGTATCTGTATGTTTATGTACGTTCAATAAAAAAAAAGAGGAAACACAACTTGAAAGTTTGTTCCAGCAGGGCAGACCAGGCTTTTAGCCCTGGCTGGTAGGTGGTCTCCTGAGGGTAGTTCCAACAGGCAGACAGAGTACTGCTGTTCTGATTTGGCAGCTTCTGCTGCCTGATTTGTTTCAAATGTATTGGTTTTAGCTTTTCTTTGGTGTAAACAAGACAAGGATCATACTGTATAAGCAACACATGGTCTCTACAATACTTCCCAGGCTTTGTGCTGTGGAGAGGAGGAATTTCATCCTGCCTCCTAATTATATTGCCTTTGGCTGAGGTTGCCATGCTTCTGTCTAGCACAGTGGAACAGTTTCATCCTGTTGCTTGTTGCCTATATCGACATCCTAGCACTAGGATCTAACCCATGCCTGCTCCATCCTCCAATGCAGCAGCCATCTCAGTGTCTCCATGCTCACTGTACCCAGGGGGAGATAACTGGCATCTCTTCTTTCTTTGCTCCACATCTCAGTGTCTCCATGCTAACTGTACTTAGGGGGAGATAACTGGCATCTCTTCTTTCTTTGCTCCACATCTCAGTGTCTCCATCCTCACTGTACTTAGGGGGAGATAACTGGCATCTCATCTTTCTTTGCTCCACATCTCAGTGTCTCCATGCTAACTGTACCCAGGGGAAGATAACTGGCATCTCGTCTTTCTTTGCTCCATATTTCAATGTCTCCATGCTCACCATACCCATGGGGAGATAACTGGCATCTCGTCTTTCTTTGCTTCACATTTCAGTGTCTCCATGCTCACTGTACCCAGGGGGAGATAACTGGCATCTCGTCTTTCTTTGCTTCACATTTCAGTGTCTCCATGCTCACTGTACCCAGGGGAAGATAATTTGCAAATCTTTTTTCTTTGCTCCACAGTGTCTCCATGCTCACTGTACCCAGGGGGAGATAACTGGCATCTCTTCTTTCCTTGCTCCACATCTCAGTGTCTCCATGCTCACTGTACCCAGGGGGAGATAACTGGCATCTCGTCTTTCTTTGCTCCACCTCAGTGTCTGCATGCTCACTGTACCCATGGGGAGATAACTGGCATCTCTTCTTTCTTTGCTCCACATCTCAGTGTCTCCATGCTCACTGTACCCAGGGGGAGATAACTGGCATCTCTTCTTTCTTTGCTCCACCTCAGTGTCTGCATGCTCACTGTACCCAGGGGGAGATAACTGGCATCTCTTTTTTCTTTGCTCCACATCTCAGTGTCTCCATGCTCACTGTACCCGGGGGAGATAACTGGCATCTCTTCTTTCTTTGCTCCACATCTCAGTGTCTCCATGCTCACTGTACCCAGGGGAAGATAACTGGCATCTCTTCTTTCTTTGCTCCACATCTCAGTGTCTCCATGCTCACTGTACCCAGGGGGAGATAACTGGCATCTCTTCTTTCTTTGCTCCACATCTCAGTGTCTCCATGCTCACTGTACCCAGGGAGAGATAACTGACAAATCTTCTTTCTTTGCTCCACATCTCAGTGTCCCCATGCTCACTATACTTAGGGGCAGATAACTGGCATCTCGTCTTTCTTTGCTCCACATCTCAGTGTCTCCATGTTCACTATACCCAGGGGGAGATAACTGGCCTGTAACTGGTTTCTGCAGGCTTGTCGTCGTTTAATCAGTATCACATGGACAATAGACAATTCAGCGAACAGCAAAGAGAGAGTGAAGAGGAGATGACTGGCACCATTAGTACTGGAACTCTGCCCTGGCTGCTGAAGATGGGGGATGGAGCGCATATGGGGATGGCCTGAGTGCTGTGATGTCAATTCTTGACTCAACTCAGCTCAACTGAAAATGGAAAGGTGCCAACAGTGTCGGTGCATGTTTGCTTTAGAAAAACATTTAATTTCTAAGTGTGTATAACCTTTTCTTTTTTCTGAACAGGGAGATGTTGGGAAAAATGGACAACCTGGCTCAGCAGGAGCTCCTGGCACTAGGGTAAGTTGTTTGTTGAGATCCTTTTTGTTGATTTCCCATGGAAACATGTCTTATGGTTCTTTTCCTAGGAAACAAACAAAATAAAGCAGTAGGTAACAATTGAGCTTCTGTCGATGTTACAGCGCTGTTATTGTGCGGGGGAGGGATCAGGGGGAAGGTTTTCTTTGAACTCAGACATTGACTATTTTAAACTAGAACATTCAGGTTTAGATCCAGAACCCAGTTTGGTGAGAGGAAAGGATGGGGGGTAGGGAGATTTGGGGGTAGGGAGATTGGGGGGTAGGGAGATTGGGGGTAGGGAGATTGGGGGGGAGGGGATAGACACTTGCAAGCATGTCATGCAAAGTGTTTAATTATGGGTGTGTCCTGTGAAGTCAGAGAACATCTGCCTGAGAGGCAAGGAACTAACAGTCTGCATACAAATAAGCCAGATCTGTAAATTGAATGGGAACACAAAAATTCAAGTTCTGGAACTTTACTAAAATTCAAAAGTGGATTTAAAAAAAACACACAAAGAAACCAGAACTTTCCGGGGAATGCAAAGTACAAAAAGAAAAAGAAACTAGAACATATCAGGATATAACGAGTGAAAATTGTTGCAAGCTAGTTTGGGAAGAGTTAAATTGCATACACTCATTATTTTTAATAATGTTGCCACTCCACCCCCAGTTTGGGAAGAGTTAAATGTCATACACTCATTATTTGTAATAATGTTGCCACTATACTCTCAGTTTGGGAAGAGTTAAATGTCATACACTCATTATTTGTAATAATGTTGCCCCTCCACCCCCAGTTTGAGAATCTCACATGATACCTTATGGACATGATGCAGTGCAAATACTGTCCAAAAATAAACAATAAAATATTGGCCCGGCTCAGAAGAATCAGTTGACTGAATAATTTTGGAAAGGTGTTACATGAACAGAAATTGGTCTCTCTGTAAACCACACCCCCCACCCCCTTTTAGCTGCTACCTGTTGGTGTAAACACACCCTGCAGCCTCAGTACCCTGATATCCCATTCACGCTGCCTAAAAAAATATATAATAAGTGGGCTGTCCTCCGAATAACGGGCACATATTATGGCGGCCAAAAACAGGGCCTCAGTCACGTGTCAATTGCAGTGACCTTATTTGCGGTTCTCCGGCGACTACCGCCACCACCGAGCATATCCCCCCACGCTGGGACTCACTAGCAAAGCTGCAGGAGATGCGGAAGCTGCTGCTCATGAGTCCTAGCCATCTAGTTTAGCTCCAATCCAAGCCGCGTGAGCGGCGTTGGGGAAACTCTTGGCGGTGGCGGTAGTCGCCAGAAAACTGCAAATTAGGTTGCGGGAAGTGCGCAAATGACACGTGACTGAAGCTCTTTTAGGGTATTTTTGCGGCCGCCATGACGATAGCCAATAAGTGAAAGGTGAAATGTGAGAAGATCAACTTATTTTTGCAGCAAGTTTGATCCCATATGGCTGGGTCTCTATCCACGTAATCACTAGCTGCCTGCCTCAAGTGTCACATAAAGTGCAAACTTTGTAGCTCTGGCAATGATCCCCAGGGGTCTCTATAAAAACTGCACTTGTGAACTGAATGATGCAGCCAAGAAATGAACGCATGACCTTTAGAAGACAAGGCAAATGGCTTTTAAGGAATTACAATAATACCTTGTTAACACAAACTTCCTTAAGATGAACACTTGGTTATCATGAGTTACATTTTAATCCCAGCAGAGATGTATTGTTTTTATTCCCATTTAGCGTGAATTTTTAAAAATGAGCTTTTGATGTTTTGGTTCCTTTGAAGTCATTTTAACTCTTTAAGTAACAAAAAACTCACCATAAATTGATTGATTCCACCATATATTGTACACACATCTTTGCTTTTCTTATTCCACTCTTCTGTTTAATAATAATAAAGTTATATGCCACAATGAAGGTTGGTTACTGTGTAGCGCTCATGTCTTTAGGAATATTACCTGGTAAGACACCAATCTCTTCCATGGTGTGACTCTTGTACTGCTGTCCCAAAACCAGGAGAACTGATTTTTGTACCTCATCCACTGCGGGGAGCAAATTACAGCACTCAGTGATCATGCATTTATTAATTATACACACTAGCCTCTAAACCACAGAGCCGCACCATTACGTTAACCCCTTGTATTGCAGTGGGAGTCGCCAGAGCGGATAGACACTCGCCTGCAGATCGGAAGGTCATGGGCTTGCTCCCTGAACAGCCAGTCTTTTTTCAAAATTGACTTTGGCTCCCAGGTCGACCCAGCCTTGAGTGTGTACCAGGTGCAGTCTCGGGAAGTAAAGGTGGCCGGCGTGATGCTGACCACATCACCTGTCTTGTGCTAATTGGTTTATGAAATATAGGTCTAGCTCTGAATGTCCTAAACGCCTGAAGGCGGTGTAAAGGGTCCTTTATTTTTTTTTTCGGGGGGGGGGGGGGGGGGGGGGGGGGGGGGGGGGGGGGGGGGGGGGGGGGGGGGGGGGTGTTTGTATTGCTGTTGTTACTATAATACCTTCTCTTCCAAAGCTGGAGTTCTCAGCCAGAAGATGCTAAACAGCTGTTGCTGTAGGAGCAGCAACTTTATCATAGACACTCTTGAATTCAGCACTAGGGGCTGAAAGAATTAACAAAGTTTTATTGTAATAACAATGGTTTTTTTGGGCAACTTCAACACCCACCAAAAGAATCCCACTTGTAATCATTTCTTTAAAACTTACACTATACAAGCATCTTTAGCGAAAATTAATTATTATTTGTTATTGCTTTCATATTATAGGGTCCTAATGGAGACTCTGGTATTCCTGGAGCTCCAGGTGTGAGGGGACACAAGGGATTCAGTGGTTTTCCTGGGAAAAGAGGGGCAGATGGCCAGCATGGGGATCACGTAAGTAAATGATGCTGTTAGGGTTACTGTTTGCTTTGCAGTTAGTTACTGTGATGGAGTCACTTCCGGCAAATGTTTGGTAGTTTGTCCATATTCAGTAGATGTTTGCAGAATCACGGCTGTCATGCGGGTGACCTCAGTTCAACATTGAGTAAGGTGATGGCTAACCCTGCTGAGATGAATAGTTGGAATATCTGAGGCCCTAAGTACCAGCATCTGCATCGCATGTATCAAGGTGCGCACCAGATGCCTCTTCAAAGCCTGACACCAAAAGGTAGACCAGGACTATTGACACTAAAACATAGACTAAGACTATTGACGCTCAAAAGTAGACCAGGACTACTGATGCTAAAAGGTAGACCAGGACTACTGGCGCTAAAAGGTAGACCAGGACTACTGATGCTAAAAGGTAGACCAGGACTACTGATGCTAAAAGGTTGACCAGGACTACTGATGCTAAAAGGTAGACCAGGACTACTGACGCTAAAAGGTAGACCAGGACTACTGACGCTAAAAGGTAGACCAGGACTACTGACACCAAAAGGAAGACCAAGACTACTGATGCTAAAAGGTAGACTAGGACTACTGATGCTAAAAGGTAGACCATGACTACTGATGCTAAAAGGTAGACCATGACTACTGATGCTAAAAGGTAGACCAGGACTACTGACACCAAAAGGAAGACCAGGACTACTGATGCTGAAAGGTAGACCATGACTACTGACGCTAAAAGGTTGACCAGGACTACTGATGCTAAAAGGTAGACCATGACTACTGACGCTAAAAGGTAGACCATGACTACTGATGCTAAAAGGTAGACCAGGACTACTGACGCTAAAAGGTAGACCAGGACTACTGATGCTAAAAGGTAGACCATGACTACTGACGCTAAAAGGTAGACCAGGACTACTGATGCTAAAAGGTAGACCAGGACTACTGATGCTAAAAGGTTGACCAGGACTACTGATGCTAAAAGGTAGACCATGACTACTGACGCTAAAAGGTAGACCAGGACTACTGACGCTAAAAGGTAGACCAGGACTACTGACGCTAAAAGGTAGACCAGGACTACTGACGCTAATAGGTAGACCAGGACTACTGGCGCTAAAAGGTAGACCAGGACTACTGGCGCTAAAAGGTAGACCAGGACTACTGACGCTAAAAGGTAGACCAGGACTACTGATGCTAAAAGGTAGACCATGACTAGTGACGCTAAAAATTAGACCAGGACTACTGATGCTAAAAGGTAGACCAGGGACTACAGAAGAATTAGTGACTGTCATATTCATTGGGTATTATAATATAGTATAAAATAAGATGAACTGAAACAATTCTGACAACAGACAAACAAAGAACCACCAAACAGGCACTATAATGGGAAATAGAGGGAATGAGGAAATGAGGATATCTAAGAAACCATTTTAAGGTGAATGTTGATGAGAGAAGATGAAAAGGCTGGACTGGATCCCAACCTTGATGTTGCACAGGATTGTTTGGAGTGGAGAAATAGACTGTGAGCTATAGTGACATATAATGGAACCAAAAGATATACATGAATGAATAATATCACTGATATAAAAATGATAAAGATAAGATATATGAAACGTGTGGAGCAAATTAAAATAAAAGATAGTTTCATGGACTTGATCTAGTCTGTCCATTGATTTCTACAGTGCAGTTTTAGTTCTTTTGCAGTTAATCTTCCTGTATATTTTCAGTAAATGTCATCTGATTCAGCCAAGACAGCTTTTTTTTCTAATGTTTTTTGTGCTTCTACATCACCCATTTTTATTCTTAATTGTTCTGTAGGTTGTTTATTTCCTTTTTTAAAAAAAAATTCATTTAGGAAGGAACACTGGTTGTCTTCTTTGTTTGTCTCTAAAAAGGTGTTTGACACATTGTGTTGTGGTTTACAGTTAGGCTGTGATGTTTGGCCTGGGCCAGAAAGACAGTTTTGACTAATCTAGACACCTTTTACTTTATTTTTCTTAAGGACCAGTGCCCCCCGCCCTTCTCCCCCTTCCCTGCACCAGTAGGACTTCATGTGTGTTTAAAAAAATAAAAAATCCCACCACAAATGCTTAGAAATATCAAACATGAATACTGGCTTAAACTTTATGCATGTCTTTGTTGTGTTTAGGGAAAGATTCATGCTGGATGGAAGAAAATATGATCCTCAACATCATTAATGATAATAATTTACATCTATAACCCAAAAACCCTCACGCTCCTAATAAGAGTGGCTTTTGTGGTAATATTGCAATGTTTGCTACTGAGTTTGAATGAATAAATCAAAACTTAACAACACTCCACCTGTGATATTCCCACACATGCTCTTCTTCGCTGGTAGCCATTAAAGAATCTACCTACTAATAGAACCAGTTGCAATCTGATTAAAAGTCTGCCTATGTTTCTCTCAGTCTTTCAATGTCGTGATTCTCTGTTCTGTTGTCCTATCCATCTGATCCCAGAGAGACGATCATGTCAGCTTCTGAATCTGCAATGATGTAACAACATTTATGGGGTTTTTTTTCAGGGTCCCCCAGGTCCTCCTGGCCCACAAGGTCCTGATGGTTCTCAAGGAGCACGAGGACCACCAGGTGAGAGAGGAGAAGATGGATCTGCTGGAAATGCAGTAAGTATGAAGTAAATCAACACGTGTATTCATATACTTTCTCTTTGATAATGTTTTTTTTAAAGAAGTGAATGCAAAGCTTGTTTTCTCACCATGAAGCAATCAGCATATGGTAATCATTCAGTTCCATTATCATTGCAAATGGGTCACGCCATAGTTGCTCCATTGTTATGCCAGCAAAAACGAGACAGAATGTACATCAGTGTTCCTTGTGAAAAAATTGACACAAACTGCAGTCTCAGCAAAGCCAGTAGCATACACCTGAATTAAATGCATAATTAGAAGTGCCAACACAAACAGTCTGGCACTAGAAATGCAGTTCATGTAAGTTGAAAAAACAACAACAAAAAACAGTGAAATAGTGTTTTCACACGTATCTTATATGGCTCAGTTCATATTTGTGTAGACCAATCAGCACTCACTGGGCAATGTGGTCAACATCATCTGGCCACCTTTTCCTGAAACAGACAAAGAAGAGTTCAATGCAAACTAAGAAGGGTCGATAAATAGACAAAGAAGAGTCAAGAAATAGGCAAAGAAGGGTAAAAAAAACAAAAGGTCATAAAACAGATAGAGAAAGTTTGTGAAATATACAAAGAAGGGTCAACAAAAAAGACAAAGAAAGGTCATGAAGTTGAGAAACAAGCAAAGATAAACCATGAAACAGACAAAGAAGGGTCATGAAATACACATGAAGTTCTGGAAACAAAGATTATGAAAACAAATTTATTATATGTAAAAAAAAGTCTAATTTTTAATGTTGATTTAATAATATGATTGACCAACTTTCCCAATCTTTACTTATATAATTTCTATTGCTATACCCATTTTCATTTTAGGGTCTGCGTGGAGTTGATGGCATGCCAGGCCCAGCTGGACCGCCAGGTCCCGATGGCCCCACTGGACCCCCAGGCATACCTGGACAGCCAGGCCCCAAAGGGGAGGCAGGTGCCCAAGGAGCAAAAGGATCCATTGGTCCACAGGGGGCCCGTGGTGAGAATGGTATTGCTGGACAAACTGGTGAAATAGGCAGCAATGGGGAACCTGGTCAGCCTGGTACCCCTGGGGAACAGGGGGGACCTGTAAGTGTGTCCATAATTAAACTTATCGAAGTATTCGTAGCTTCGTCCATGCTCTGAATAGCCTTTACATTGCAATTTTTATGTTTAAAATAGCTTTTGTACTTCAATTTTTATGTTTAAAGTAGCTTTTGTACCTCAATTTTTATGTTTAAAGTAGCCTTTGTACCTCAATTTTTATGTTTAAAGTAGCTTTTGTACCTCAATTTTTATGTTTAAATTAGCTTTTGTACCTCAATTTTTATGTTTAAAGTAGCTTTTGTACCTCAATTTTTATGTTTAAAGTAGCTTTTATACCTCAATTTTTATGTTTAAAGTAGCTTTTGTACCTCAATTTTTATGCCTAAAGTAGCTTTTTCTTTTTAAATCTCAATCTTTATGCTTAAAATTACTTTCGCATCTCAATCTTTGTGTTTAAAGTAGCTTGTATTTCTCAGTCCTTATTTTTAAACTAGCTTTCATATCTCAGTCTTTATGTAAATTAAGCCTTTGCATTTCAATAGTTGTGCTTAAAGTAGCTTCTTTGTCTCAATATTTGTGATTCAAGTAGCTTTTTAATCCTAATCGCTATGCTAAAGTAGCTTTTGTATCTCAGTCTTTATGCTTAGTGTAGCTTATGTGTTTCAAACTTTATGCTCAGTGCACATTTGTATTTCAAGCAATGTGTTTAGGATAGCATATGTTTCATACTCATTATGCTCAAAATGATTCCACAATACATTCCTTTTATTTACATCAACATCATCACATGCTGAGCCATACAGGCTATTATTTATCCTCTAAATATTTTCTTTTGACAACTTCAGTGTCTGTGATCATTTTATGCTTAACGTTATCAAGTCAAGCAAAAGTTTGACTCTCTGTTAACCACTGCATCTACAGTCCTTGATCTTCCCAGTTGTCGTAGATTATTTCAGACTTTTCCATTTCAAAACATGCCCACCAAAATCTGGCTGACAAAATGGCCTCTTGTAGCATTTGAAACTTGGTCTTTTTGTGTGTATATATATATATATATATATATATATACATACAGGTGCATATCTTTCAAAATATGTATGCATAACTCAAACATTCAACTGTTAACAGCTTAAATTCTTCTTCTTATAGTCCATGTCGTATGGCGTAGGTATTCCTGTCTGTCTACAACTTTCTCTCAACTGTCTTCTCATAGTCTGTGTTGTATGGCATTGGTAGTCATGTCTGTCCACAACTTTCTCTCTCCTGTCTTCTAATGGATCATGTCATGTGGCGTTGGTATTTATGTCTGTCCACAACTTTCTCTCTCCTGTCTTCTCATAGTCCATGTTGTGTGGCGTTGGTAGTCAGGTATGTTCACAACTTTCTCTGTCTCCTGTCTTTTTATAGTCCATGTTGTGTGGTGTTGGTAGTCATGTCTGTCCACAACTTTCTCTGTATCCTGTCTTTTTATAGTCCATGTTGTGTGGCGTTGGTAGTCAGGTATGTTCACAACTTTCTCTATCTCTTATCCTCTTATATTCCATGTTGTGTGGCGTTGGTATTTATGTCTGTCCCCAACTTTCTCTTTCTCCTGTCTTCTTTTAGTCCATGTTGTGTGGCCTTGGTATTTATGTCTGTCCACAACTTTCTCTGTCTCCTGTCTTCTTTTAGTCCATGTCGTGTGGCATCGGTAGTCATGTCTATCCACAACTTTCTTTGTCTCGCGTCTTTTTAAGTCCATGTCGTGTGGCATTGGTAGTGAAGTATGTTCACAACTTTCTGTCTGGTGTACTTTCAGTCAGTTTTGATACAGATGATCTTCCATGCCATGTTGAATGTTGAATTAAGAATCAACATCATAGCACTCAGGACACTCCCACAAGCTGACTCTTCTGTAAAGAGCTATACCTTTCATGACTATTTTCCTCAAACTTCTATGGTGTTTTAATTTTTGTTCTTTCAGTCTTCTGAGAAATAACACTGTGTATGAGATGGTCTTCATCTATGTTCTTTTCCTGAAAAATATCAGTATTTGTTCTTTTTTACTTCCACAATGCTCAGAATATCTTTATTTTTATAATACTTAGTTACATAAATTGTTTATTTTCAACAGGGTTGAAATACTGTTATAAAACTTAGGGATGAAATACTGTTTTAAAACTTAGGGATGAAATACTGTTATAAAACTTAGGGATGAAATACTGTTATAAAACTTAGGGATGAAATACTGTTATAAAACTTAGGGATGAAATACTGTTATAAAACTTAGGGATGAAATACTTTCATTAAACTTTGGGATGAAATACTGTTATAAAACTTAGGGATGAAATACTTTCATTAAACTTTGGGATGAAATACTGTTATAAAACTTAGGGATGAAATACTTTCATTAAACTTTGGGATGAAATACTGTTATAAAACTTAGGGATGAAATACTGTTATAAAACTTAGGGATGAAATACTGTTATAAAACTTAGGGATGAAATACTTTCATTAAACTTTGGGATGAAATACTGTTATAAAACGTAGATAATGAATTTATTACACAATACTCAGTCAATAAATAATTATTATAAAGTACTGATGTTTACAAATGATGATTTCTTTATTCCAGGGTGATTCTGGTCCCCCTGGAGAGCCTGGTTTTCCTGGTTCTAGAGGCCCTGTTGGTCTTGCAGGATCACCTGGCGAGTCAGGGGCCAAGGGTTCTCCGGTAAGTGTCCTAGAACCACACACACAGTGTAAAGGTGCTCCTACATGTAGCAGCCTCAGTGTTATGTTGTATCTGTCCTTCTGGGGAATAATGGGGTGGTAGGGCAGCCCAGTAAAGCAGACTCACAACGTTCTCAGCGACACACAGGATGGAAAAACACAAGCTTACACTCTTCAAGAATTTACTGTGTTCATTGATGTTGAGCAGAGGGTTGAGGATGATCTGTCAACTCACTAACTCTCTCTCTCTCTCTCTCTCTCTCTCTCTCTCTCTCTCTCTCTCTCTCTCTCTCTCTCTCTCTCTGTCCCATTATTGTTTTTACTTCAAATCTTTATATCCCAATGTATTGTATTCTCCTTGAAAGTATAGTGGAATTGGGGGGGGGGGGGGGGGGGGGGGAAGAAATACATAATATGAATAGATTAAGTTAAAACAACAGCTCCGTGTGTGAGACAGGAAACAGATTCATGTTTTTGGACATGTTTTGAGAAGGAATAGACGCTAAAATTTGGTTAAAACTGACAAGATTGATTGAAAAGGGGCAAGGGGAAAGCTAAGAGATGAGGGCGAGACAAGTTCAGTGACCTGATCTGTGATTCTGGTGATCGCGTGAGATGGCGAAATGCCACCACCTAAGCTGTGACCAGGAAACATGATGACAATGATGATAAGATTAAACAGAGTTTTAAACAATAAGCTGTCTATGGTGTAACCAAGAAATATAATGTGAGTTTGATTAGTAACTAAATAATTCAGACCAGTCACTTAGATTATCTCTCCATTGATTTCCTTCCACATAAGTTGATGATAATATTTGGAATTTTCAGGGAGATGCTGGTTTACCTGGCTACAAAGGTGCATCAGGTGACAAAGGAAGCCCAGGTGCTGTAGGAGATCAAGGCCGGCCAGGCGCTGTGGGCCCTCCCGGAAACAGAGTAAGTTTGTGACAATTTGAGATCTTAAAATTATTTAAATCAATCAGTCAACAAATCAGGTTACAGTTGGTACGATCAGTATGGGAACTCTCTTGAAGAAGGGAACCGAGCACATATGGAGATTTTCGTGTGCAGTTATGTCAGTTCTTGATTCATTCATTCTAGTTTTTAGATACTGATATTGTATGTGTTGTGTCAACTGCACAGATATATCAGCCTAGCTATAACCACATTGCAACATACCAAGAACTTTTTTAAGGGCCAAACTAGAGGAGTTGAATTAATTCAAGAGCTAACACCACAGCACTCGGGGCATTCCCATAAGCACCCTGTCCCCATCTTCAGCAGCCAGCTAGTTCCAATACTGATTATGCCAGTAGCATTTTGATTAAATGTCAGTCTTGCCTTTACTCTGAGCGTTGAGCATTAGCCAGAACCCCTTGTCACTCCCCGCTGTATCAATCTCACCTGATCCATTTGCTCCTCTGAATTGTACACACTTTTCCACATGGCCGTAACCACATTTGCCTTATCATGCATCAGTATTCCACCAAGTTGTGCAGAGCCAGCCAGTCTGTCCGCCTGTTCATTTCCCAACACACAGATCCCGTGACCTCCACAGCAACGCATACTTCTCTGCACGAAGCATGCCTGTCCTGAGTCAGTTACAGTCACGTTGTGTATGTGTGTCATGTTCTCTAACCAGCAGAAAACTGCAGTGACCGCCTCCACCTCCATTCTTAAGCTGAATGTTGTGGTATCATATGCTAGGCTCTCCTGCCCAAACGTCGACCATTAACTTTTGCTAAGAAACCCCAAGTTTACACACTGAACTATCTGCATAAATAATCACATCCTCTGAGCGTTCTAGAAGAATATGAAGAAATTGTTAGATCTTGTAGAATGAATTTGCCATCAGTAACTACAAAAACTAAATTCTGTTTTTTCTCCCTCTCAGGGTGAGCGAGGGGCTGGAGGCCCCCCTGGATCCCAAGGTTTGCCAGGAGAAAGAGTAAGTGTCAATGTTTCTATACAGATTTTGTGTGTGTGGATAAATGGTCAGATTCATGCATAAGATGTAAGTTTGGACCGCCAAAATGAGCTACCCAGATGTTATCAAAGAGGTAAGAGCTCAAAGAAAACGTATCACAAACATCAGAAAGAGACAGTCATCAATTTTTGGTCATGTTATGAGAAGAGGGAAACTGGACTATGTTGTGACAACTGGAAAGATCTGGAGAAAGAGAGTCAGAGAAAGAAAATGTGAGAAGATTCTTGACAACCTTATGTCATGGCTTGGAGGGGTGTCAACACACCAACTTATACGTGCAGTTGCTGAGCACAGATTGTGGAGAGGCATGATTGCCCACACCAGCCTGCAAGGCTCATGATCCTGGTCTTTTGTGTGACCCAACTTAAAATGGGTATGAGTTATTCCTCTGGGAAGAAAAGACAGCTGGGGTGATGTTAACCACAGCATCCAACAAATGCCGATTGATGTAAACAAATATTTGTCTTGTATCATATGGCTGAAATACCACTAAAATTTTTGTTCTAACTTGTTACATTTTGTGTGTTTAAAGGATGTGTCAGCAAATGTAGCTTAGACATTGTAAACACGCTTCATAATTCCTTGATGCCAGATTTGATCTCAGCTGCAGGGGATTTAGCAGCACGTTTCAGTGGTTGTATCCACAGCCTACCATTCATAAAGCAATGGCAAACTACTGAACATTACATTGTCTAGTGAAATCACACAGCCAAAAAAATACCGAGATTGTTTCTGCGATGTCCTTCAATGGACATGGAACCAACTTTTCATGTGTAAAGGGTAAAAATTATGCTTTATTGAGTATATATATATTTTACAAAACTTGCCAGAAGAAACAGACTGGCCTTCTTCTCAAAGTCTACACTGTGTGGTGTTAGTAGTTATGTCTATCCACAACCTTCTGTCTCGTGTACTTTCAATCAATTCTGCTACAGATGATCACCCATGCCATGGTGTCAAACTGTCAAACATCTTTTCTCTCGGTCTCCCTCTGCCTCTCCTTCCCTCCAGCTTTCCTACTGTCATGATGTACTCCAGTTTTCTGCTTCTCATTACATGACCAAAGAATGTAGATTGTCTCTTTCTGATGTTGGCAATCAGTTCTCTTTGTGAGTCAGTTGCTTTCAAGACATCCTCATTACTCTTTCTATCTGTCCAGGATATTCTGATCATCCATCTATAAAACCTCCTCTTCACAGCTTTACAAAAATTTTTTAATGGCCTACTAATAAAATAACTTATTTTCCATCCACTTAGGGTGTACCTGGCAACCGTGGCTTGCCTGGTGTTGCGGGAGATGCTGGCCCTAAAGGTCTGGAAGGTATTGATGGTGAAAGAGGCCCTCGTGGAGAGGCTGGTGCAATTGTGAGTGCTAATTTCAAATTATCACCTTATTTCTCCTCTTGTTTTTCTTCTCTTGTCTTTCTCTTTTTCATTCTCCACTCTGAGTGAAAATTAGTATCTTTACTTATTGTGTTTTTAATCTATGTTTTTCATTGTCAGCTTTCTCATAACCAATCAACATGTGGTGTGTAGTTTGGCTCATTTCTCTTAATTCAAATAATCCTGTAATGTTTCCCTTGTGTTTTACATCATGTAATGTGTTCCCCTGATTTGCCTCTTTCAGTCTCAAGGATCCCCAATTTTTCGTCTCTACTACTCCTTGGACCTCTGATGCAAAACCCCTAGGATTTAAAGAAATAACATTTGATCAGAGCATATTATAAAAATCTGACCAGCATGCTGACGTGAGATATATTATTGGCTATTCCCAGTGTGTCTCATAGACCCTGTCATACATTTTCATACTTTGGGAATTTGATCCAAGCAGATACAGAAATTAAACAGTCTGGACAACAACTACTATCAACTGTTATAAGACAGAGAAGATAGCACTACACTGGGCACACCATGAGAAGAAGAAAGCAGTGAATCACTAAACATACATTGAAATAGAAAGCAAATAAACTGAATACGTCTGAGAGAAACTCTTAATAAAATACTGATGAGAGAGGCCAAAGGGGCTATATTCATCAATCCATCGCTTGCATGGGCAACATCTAGATTTGCTTTTGTTGAGTCCAAGTGATAAGGCTCTCTGTGATGCATTATCTTATTGTAGTTTTGACATATGACTGAGCCATTTGATCTGTTGTCTCTTGATATAAGTTATTTCACAAACTTTTGTCTGGATTTGCTCAGCTTGTTTGACATTTCTCAGTATTTCCCTCTGTTAATCTTCATTATAGTAACATTTTGATAGTTTTTTTTTTTTAAACAATTAAAATATTATAAAGTCTCTTTTAAAAACCTGGCTATATTTTCTTAAACAGGGTGAAGTTGGTCGACCCGGGCCTCCTGGAAACAATGGAGAAAGTGTAAGTATATGACCTACTTAAATATGTTTAAACTATTGCTAATTTGCAGTTTATTTTTTTTACTTTCTGGTAAAATATTTTTTAAAAACCTTACTTGATCAGAATATTTTCATGATTTATACTTAAAAAATTGCTGTACATTGATAAACATTGCAATATTTTTAGATTTGAAATCTTACTATATCTTTGATAATTTTATACTAAATTTATTTGTGGTCAATCATCATCATCTTGTAGCATGTTCTTTACGGAACATCCCTCCCACCATTACCCACCTGAAAGAAACGTGGTCCCTTCCAAACTTTCCCACCTCATAAACTTTCCTGCCTCATAAACTTTCCTGCCTCATAAACTTGTCTGCCCCATAAACTTGTCTGCCCCATAAACTTGTCTGCCCCATAAACTTTCCTGCCTCATAAACTTTCCTACCTCATAAACTTTCCTGCCTCATAAACTTTCCTGCCTCGTAAACTTTCCTGCCCAAGGTGTCTATTATGTCAATGCTCACTTCTCTGCCAGTTGGCCATGCCTCTCTTACCTGGCAGCATGCCACCATCCATCATTGTTCTTTCCAAGCCATTGTGATATTTGATATGGCCAAAGTTTGACAGTTTCTGAGACAAAATGCTGTTTCTGTGGTTAACAATTTTGGGTTATTCGTAGTTTTAACAAGCTCAGCCCTAATCAGAACAGAAATGTGTCCGAGATTTTTATGAAGTCTCTTTTACCACACTCCAGTTTTATCATGTTACATTTGGAGCTTGCAATACTTATCTTGTGCAATACCAATGGATTATTCCATTAAATGTTACTGTGATGTCTCAGTGGAGAAAAGACTGGAAAAACATACAAAGTATATGTGAGCTTAACAGATCCAATTATGATAGTCATACAAAGGATGTTGCTGTGATAAGTTTTCATCAGGCAGAACAATGGCAAAAAAACAAAACACAAAACATCAAAAAAGAATCGACTCTGAAAATGCTACATTACAGAATTCCATAATATGTAAACAAAAGAAACAAAAAATAATAAACAACACAATTATACCAAGTATATGATTCTTATCTGAAAACAGACAAAGATAATTTTTGTGGGTTTTTTTTTTTTTTTTTTTTTTTTTTCTGGTCTTTGTTCTGGTGGTGACCGATAATCGCCACAATATCATTTTTTTGCTGACTTTAATTGGACCTGAAAAACTTACATATACTTCATGTTTAAACAAAAATGTTTGTTCTAGATTTTCATAGCATTACTGCAATCACTTTATTTCTGTAGATATCTCAGTGCAATCTCCTACTGCATCCAAACCAGTTCTGTAAGTCCAGTTAAATGTCACAATTGTTGTGCAGATTCTTACTGCCACAGTTGTTGTGTTATCATCATCATCAGGTGCCTTGCTGACTGGCGTGAGCGATCATGCCTGTTCATAATCTGCGATCTCCTGCAGCATGTATCAGTTCGTGTGCCGACACACCTCCATGCCATGCAACAAGACTGTCAAGAATCTTCTCTCGTTGTCTTCCTCTATTCCTCCTTCCACATATCTTTCCAGTGGTCACAACATGTTCTATTTTCTTTCTTCTCATAACATGGCCGAAAAATGATGACTGTTTCCTTCTGATGTCTGTGACAAGTTGTCTTCGGGCTCCTGCCTCTTTCAAAACCTCTTGGTTGCTCTTTTTGGCTGTCCAAGGTATTCTAAGCATTCTTCTGTAAAACCACATCTCCGAGGCCTCCAGAAATTGTTTGGCCTGCCTACCGATTGTCCAGGATTCACAGCCATATGTTAAAACTGGATGTTTGTACCAAGCAAGAATTATTTTTCTAACTCTCAATGACAAGGATATATTGCACAAGATGTTTTTCATTTTATAAAATGCAGTTTTTGCCTGTCCTATTCTGTTTCTTATCTCAGTTATGCATCTTCCATCTGATGTTATCCATGTGCCCAGATATTTACATTTCTGTACTTGTCCTAAAATAACACCATCAATTTTTATTACACATTTAGGAATAATTCATTTCTTTGATACCACCATTACTTCTGCCTTCCCATTATTCAAAACTGAGGCCCATTCTTCCACTTTCTAACACCACAATGTCTATCATTTCCTACAGTTCTTTCTGACTTGTTGCTATCAAGACGGTGTCTTGAATTGTTTGCAATCTTTTGTTAAATGTAAAATAATTTGCAACATTTGAAAATCCTTTATTTTATCTTTCATTTCTACAAATCAGAAAATATGAATCTTAAATAAATTGTTTTTCAGGGTCCTCCAGGTCTTGTTGGACCAGATGGAGCTAGTGGACCCCCTGGACCTGCGGTAAGTACAAACCAACCATATTGTTTGTTCATGTTTGTATAAAACACTGTTTATTTATGGTCACCAGAAAGATCCATATTTTCATATACCTTTCAGTCCTTAGTGTTCTGGATCAGTTCTGTTGATTCAAATCTTCCATGCCAACATCTTAATCCATCTGGCATCATTTCTTTTGGCTTCCATCTTCTTCTTCTACCACAGATTTTTCCAGCTATAATTTTCTTCTTTGATCTCATGACCAAGAGAACCTCTTATCTTTTTTGGTACCACCAGTACTTGAACTCTGTGCTGTTTGCTGAAGACAGGGACAGAGTGCATATGGGAAATGTCTCAAGTACTGTGATGTCAATTGTTTAACTTAACTCTTTTCCTGATAGTTGCATATAATATGATGGTTTGGCTGTCTGACAAATAGAGTGACACTCATGAGAAATATAATATACACAGAGCAAGGGGAAGACCCAGGCAGTCATTAATCACCCTGGTGGTGTAAGGGATTCAGAACATTCATCTCAGAAAACACATCTCCTCTGGCAAACATACTTACACAGATTTATTATCTGCAGGGACCTACTGGGTCTGATGGACCCGCAGGAGAGATGGGACCCCCAGGTCAGCCTGGGGGTGTGGGTCAGCAGGGAGCTCAGGGACCACAGGGGGAGAGAGTGAGTATATCATGCTTTCTGTTTTTATTATAGCTAGTTCATTATTATTATAGCCAGGTCATTATTATTATAGCCAGTTCATTATTATTTTAGCCAGCTGAATATTATTATGGCTAGTTCATTATTATTATAGCTAGGTGAATATTATTATAGCTAGTTCTTTTTATTATAGTGAGTTCATTATTATTGTAGCCAGTTCATTTTGATTTATATCAGTGTTATACAATTTTACAACTGCATGAGTGGGATGAATTCAAGAAAGGTGAAGAAAAAAGAGAAACCCCTGCACAACTATTGTGTCAACAGTTATAGATGGTGCATATTGGATACATCCTGAGAAAAAATTACAGAAAACCACAAAATAGTCACTAAAATGGGAAACAAATGGATTGAGGGAACTAGAACATAAACAAAATAATTTAAAAAAAAACCTTACATAAAAGTTGAAAAGAGAGGCCAGAGGTGCGGGAATGAAAGAATCTATTGATGACATTGAAACTAATAGGATGGAATGGAAGAATAAACTGCAAGCTCTGTGTGTGATGTATAATTGCATCAACCGAGTGAGGATCACACATGTTGAGTAAAATATAACATATGTACTGTGATAACATGTAACAGTTTCAGTAACTGTTCCATGTCAACATCATGCTGATGATGATGGTGTTGATACACGATACATAAAATGTAAAATATTTACTGTGATAGCATGTAACAGTTTCAGTAACAGTGTCCCATGTCAACAGGGATCCCCAGGTAAAGAAGGACAGCCAGGTGCTCCTGGGCAAAGAGGTCCACCGGGAGATGTAGGCTCAACAGGAGAAAGAGGACTTCAAGGACTCACTGGTCCTGAGGTAAGCACTTTATAGTTCCTTCAGTCTGTACTAAAGAAATCACCATAATTTTTGTTGACGTTTTGTTTCTATATTCATACTATACTAAAGAAATCACTATAGTTTTCACTAATATTGTCTTTTGTATAATACTATACCAAAGAAATCATAATGATTTTTGTTGACATTGTTTTTATATATATATATATATATATATATATACATAGATATTACTATATGTTAAAAAAAATTGTTTCCAATATTCCCTGTTTATTTAAGAAGTACATATCTAGTGATACCATTTTTGTTGTTGTATTTATTCTATATTAACGAAGTCACTGTATGTTCACAACATTTGTTGTTGTTGTTGGGTACTATTCATACTGTGTTAAATAAATCACTATATATCAATAATCCATAAGAGATAAGATCAGGAATGAGATCATAAGAGAAAAAGTCGGCACAGAACCATTTCTAAATTACATACGGAGACAGCAAGTGAAATGGTTTGCCCACTTAGAGAGAATGCCTTGTGACACCATACCATACAAAGCATACATGGAAAGAGAAGAAGGACGTAGAGCATGAGGTAGACCAAGAACAAGATGGAAGGATAACATCAGAGAAACTCTACAACAGCACGATGTGCCTATGGTCGAGGCGGCCAGAAGAGCTAGAAACAGAACCTTATATCTCCCTCGACACCGACAGCGGTAAAAGAGGAAGTGAAGAAGAAGCAGAAGAAGACTGTTTTCCTTTTTAATTCTCTGCTACAGAAACAGCACTGTAAATGAACTATGTCTGTTTGTATCTCAGAAAAAAGGATTAATCATTGAACATTAAATTCTCATTTACACAAATTCCACTTGAGCAAAAAATCAGGAGTTCAGTTTCATTCAAAAAATGATAACTGTGACTTTGAATGTTTTCTACCAATTGGTGTGTAGACTACTTGTTGTGATTTTCTAAAGCATGTTCCCAGTGTCTGAAATGATGACTGCTGGTGTGGCCCCTTTTTCTACCCATGTGAGTGCTCTAGAATATCAGTTATCCCCATGGTCATGCTTGACATAGTTGTCTGGTAAGCGCCAATATAATAGCCACAGAGGCTCCGTCTCCCACAGCTGATGTCTAAAGGCACAGATGCTGAATGTTCCAGTAACACACTGGTTATACACATGTCTTTCTCTTCCTCTCATTCATCATTTCTTGTTGGATCCACACTTAATTCCAAATTCATGCAACCTTACACATTGTAGTGTCAGTCAGCATTCATTCATTCATAAATCATCTTCAGAATTTCTGCCTTATGCAGACACAGAATAATCTTGTTAGAATATTATATGCTTGTATCTTCTTTTTCTTTTGTCAATATCTGCTTATACTGCCAGGTGTCACAGTTCATCAGAAAATCGTCAGCTGAGCCAGGGCACGCTCGGTCACTTGATATGCCTTTATGTTATACAGTTGCAGGGTGTCAGTGACTCTTTCAGTCCATATTTTTCTCGGTCTTCCCCTGCCTTTTAGTGTTTCGTATCTCAGGTTGTACGCTCTTGCTGCTGGGATCGTTGGTTTCATTCTCATTCGATGGCCAAACCATTTCATTCTTTTTTTTTAAAAATAAATTTGATGATGGCTGTTGTTTCAACAGTTCTTGTGATCTCATCGCTTCTCACTCGGTCTCCTCTGGTTTTATTCACAGTCATTCTCAAACACCTTATCTCACAGGTGGTAAGTTTTCTCTTGTGTTCTTTTGTCAATGTCCAAGTCTGACACTGGTAACCTAAAGTCGGTATAAATATTGTATTTATTATTTGTGTATGTGTCTCTATTGGATAAGCAGGGTGTTTTAAAATTGGAGCAAATTGCAAGGTGACATTTTTGGCTTGTTGGACTCTCATTTCTATCTCTCTGTCTATTTTACCATTGTATGTAAAGATGCTTCCCAAGTAAAACACTTGTATAGAGGTTTGTATTATAATTAAATAACTGCAAGACTGTTGTGTTTTTAACATCTACAGGGAGAACCTGGTCAGCCGGGGTCAAGTGGACCCAGAGGTCCGCCTGGGTTCCAGGGAAATCCAGGACCTCAAGGGATTCCTGGAGAACCAGGTGTTGATGGGGTCGCTGGAATTTCTGGGGAGACGGGTCCACATGGAAGGGAGGGCTATCCGGTAAGTAGTCCACTGTTGAGTGGAGAGGAGGAAGGAGAGAGGGGGTAGAAAAAAATAGGGAGTAGAGATAGAAGGGAAAAGAGAGAATTAAGAGAGGATGTTGGAATAAAAGAAGGAGAGAAAAGTGGAAGAAATGAGACAACAAAAAAAGAGGAGAGAAGGGATGAACCAGTGAACACATGATGCATTCATTTGTTACTCTTGATAAAGTAAACATTATTGTAGTTTTTTTATTTATTTCTTCTCTCAAATTCTTATCTTATTCTGGCCCTTTTTGTCGCAGCCTCTCAGTGTAGCTCATTATGTCCTAGAGCAGCATTGTTCAGTTCCATTAAGACCAAAAACTCATTGCTACCAAGTCTAGGAAACTACCAGAATTGCAAACACTGCTGACACAACTCAGCCTTCAGCTAAGAATCGTAATGCAGTGGATACCGTCTCATTGTGGAGTGCCTGGAAATGAGAAAGCTGATCAACTGGCAGGGGAAGGTGCGACAAAAGTGCAGCCGGATGTACCAGTCACATACCACCAAAAGAAAATAATCATTAAATCGATCAGGAAACCACCAACCCCAGCACAAGACGACTATTTTATTATGGACAGACCAGAACAAGTCATTATCCTCCGCCTCAGAACAGGGCACAACCGATTACATAACGACATGTACACAAAATTCAAGATAGGTGTATCAGACATGTGCACCTGTGGAAAGGTGCCCCAGACATCAGAGCATGTACTCCAGTAGTGCACCGAATTTGACACATTAAGGCAAACCTTTTGGTAAAAAAGAACAACAGTGGAACATAAACTCTATGGACCACTGAATGAACTAACAACGACAGTGAAATTTATACAAGAGACAAAACGGCTGATATAGACAACTTATTTCATCCCTAAGTTTTATAACAGTATTTCAGTGTGTGTGTCTTACTGACATATGTACGGATGTATGCATTATGTGAGTGTGTGTGTCTTACTGACATATGTACGGATGTATGCATTATGTGAGTGTGTGTGTGGGGGTGTGCATGCGTGTGTGCATGTGTGTGAGTGATTGAGTGAGTGAATGAATACCATATGTGTGCATGTGTGTGAGTGATTGAGTGAGTGAATGAATACCATATGTGTGCACGTGTGTGAGTGATTGAGTGAGTGAATGAATACCATATGTATGCATGTGTGTGAGTGATTGAGTGAGTGAATGAATACCATATGTGTGCATGTGTGTGAGTGATTGAGTGAGTGAATGAATACCATATGTGTGCATGTGTGTGAGTGATTGAGTGAGTGAATGAATACCATTTGTGTGCTTGTGTGTGAGTGATTGAGTGAGTGAATTAATACCAAATGTGTGCATGCATTTACCATTCATGCATATGTATTTTTCCTTGATATTCATATAATGAATATTGTTTAATGAACATAACATGATTTATTATTAAAATGCAAATGATGTGTAAAAGAATGATGTTGGAAGGGTTGATTATGTGATGGATCTGCATGCCCAGTTTGTGACCCTTGAAAAATAAAACTTGTTCATACGTTCAGCAATGATATCATTTTAGAAGGAAAAGCGAAATGTAATTATAAGAGTTTGAAAGGGCGATGATGTTAAAATGAGAAAAGGGAGGGAAAGAAGAAACCTTGAGTGAGAAGTGGTTGGTTGGAATCTTTCAGTCTTTCCAGACGATAATGTTATATGACGAGGCATGGGAGTCACAGCCTGTGGTGATGGCGAATGTGACTGTCAAGACACAAATGCATTATGAAGAGTCTTCCACAATCAGAGCATGAGATTTCAGAACCATTGTTATCAACATTTGTATTCATTGTGTTATTTACTGTGTCTCTTCTCCGATTATCAGCACTTGTCCTTTCTGCAGTCATTTCTTCTTATTTGCAGTAGTATTGATTAAAAAAAAAGTAAAGTAAAGATCCGTTTTCAAGCCTTTAGGCGCATTGGGCATATCGGAAAGAGCACCCATATTTTTACAGACCAATCCACTCTCGGTGGGTAATGTGGTCAGCATCACGCCGGCCATCTTTACTTCCCCAGGACAGCCATCATGGTACCCATTTGAGGCTGGGTCGACCTGCGACGTCCCATACCACGATAAAAATCCACGCAGCCCGCATGGGTTTTGATCGAGGTACATTGGATTACGAGTCGGACTCGCACATCTTAGCCACGGACGCCGCCAGTAGTATTGATTAATAAGTTAAATATATTTTAAGTAAACTTTTTTAATAAATTGTGATAATCAGACTGGTAATCTTATCTTTGGGAAATATTTAAATGAATACTATTATTCTCTCTTAAGATATGTTAACAATTTATATACAGACCTTCGTTCTGGTTTAATCCTTTCCTGTAGTTCTCTAGAGTTTTCTAGGGAAAGATATAAAACCAAATGAAAAGTTTATCAGTGAGCTTCACAGTATAACAAATACAAACAAAACATGAACGAGCGGCTATGGAACCTTCTTCAGCACATATATAGATTAGACACTACTACTCAAATTCACAAAATCATTTATCTTCGTATCTTGTGGCAGCCAGGTCGATGTCAAACCAGTAGTTTGGCTATTGTTTAGAATTTTCTAGTAACAGATCCCCACATTTTTTTGACATTAAAATATGTTCCAGTAGCATGAAAGCCCCTTCTACATTTTGTAATGTTTAACATCTACATGTTCCCCCATCTTTGTCTGAGCTGCTACAGAAACATGCGCATGACTGCACCATTGAGGTTTAGTACAGTGAATAATATATCCTCACTTACAAATTACAGGGAGAGCGTGGGTTCCCTGGACCTAGAGGAGCCCCAGGTCCACCTGGTGAAGATGGGGATCCTGGTGCTCCAGGTCCAGCCGGCCCTGAGGGTCCCAAGGTGAGTAAAAACTGGAGAAGTAACTATTCGTTTCCAGATGTTACATAATGTTAACTATTAATATATATTTTTATATTTATTTACCATTCAGCACAATATTATTGTTATTATTATTATTATTAAGCCCTTAAACCAGGTTTAGGCTTCTTGAGGGCACTCCTGAACATTTGTGGAGGGGAGGGGGGGTAACTGAGCATCACCCCCACCTCCCCTACCCCATTTTTGTCTTTGTGGCAGCACACCTGATGAGTATTCTGCGGTGTTGAGTACTCTGCTGTGTTGAGTGCTATGCTGTGTTGACTACTATGTTATGTTAAGTACTTTCTGTGTTAAGTAATATTCTGTGTTGAGTGCTATGTCATGTTACAAACGCTGCTGCATTGAGTGCTCTATCATGTTAAGTGCTCTATGTATTAATTTCTCTGCTGTGTTTAATTCTATGCTGTGTTGAGTACTCCAGTGGTCAGTGCACTTGTCTGTCAAGTCAAAAGTCTGGGTTAATTCCATAGCAGAGATATAATTATTTTAAGTAAGACACTTCTAGGGTCAACTCAACCTTATAAACATTTGAAGTGTAAGCTTTTTATAACTAATGAAAATTGTCTAGGAAGAGAAGTTTAATCTTGAATTTTAAATTAGGAAATGACATCACAGTACTCAGACATTTCTGTAAGCACTCCATCCTCATCTTCAGCAGCAAGTAAGTGCAGAGTTTCAATTCCAGTGGCACCAGTAACAATCTGATTGTATATCCATCTCACGTTTCCCTTGAGTGTTGAGCATTGGCCAGGTACCCTGGGTGCTCCTAAAGGACACCCTGGGTTGTCATGGATCAGTTCACCACGAAGTGGTGCAAAATCAACCATGCTATTTGCCTGTTCATTTCCCAAAACACTAGCAACACCTGAACAAAATATCTGAAGGATATAACTACCCCAGACAGTATGCTCTGTGCAGAGTGTTTTTCAAGAAACTGTGACTGTAAACATGCAAGAGGGTAAAGGTAAAAACATGCACAGATGCAGCTGGAATTTCTGGTTCACTGTTGTGAAGTAGGATCTTGTTTCTTTATTTATTGATAAAGACAGGTTTTGATAACATTTTTGAGCCAGTGTCATATCACAGAAAGAGCCAGTCACATTTCATAAAAAATCCAAGAAGTTGTAGATGAAAATATCCATATGATTGTCAGAGGAGATTTTGACAATTGTTTTTTCATGTTTTCTCAGGGTCCTTCTGGCGACGTTGGTGAGCTGGGAGAAACTGGGCCAACTGGCCCCAATGTGAGTCTGATTTATTTATAATATAGTTTACTCAAATTTACTTTCGCATAGATAAGTAATGAAACAATATATATCTAGGGCTATATTTCAGATGTGTGATCTCATGGGCCGTCATTTAAATTATGTCTCCCAAAACTTCAGCATTACTATTTGTTTACATCGCTATATTCTATTTAAACTGTATTTTAACGCCAGAACACTAATCAAATGCAGATCTCATGATGATAAAAGCAATAAAAATATAAATTTTTTCAACTAAAGTTATATTTTGCTGCCCCCAAAAATGTTGCCACCCTGGCAGCTGTACATGTTGCACATGCCTAAATATGGCCCTGACTATACTATTAGATGTCTACTGTTAATGTTAAGTCGGGGTAGGATTCAAATGAAAACCTTAAAAGTGTGATGGCAATAACAGTAACCATGTTATAGTCTTCTAGCCTGTCAATTTTGTTGTTAAGATGCCAAAAGTGTTAAGCATTTGCTGTCATGGTGCAGATTAACGTTGTGACATCATAAGTAAAAAAAAAGTAAAGATCCCTTTACACGCCTTTAGGCGCATCGGGCATACGGGAAGAGCACCCATATTTTTACAGACCAATCGGCACTTGGTGGGTAATGTGGTCAGCATTACGCCGGCCGTCTTTACTTTCCCAGGACAGCCCATCCTGGTACCCATTTGAGGCTGGGTCGACCTGCGACGTCCCATACCACGATAAAAATCCACGCAGCCCGACATCATAATGACTGTTTAAACATGGCCACCTCACTTGTGGCATGCACCAAAGAGGTGCAATGTTCTGTTATCCATTTTTTTTTAATCAGTGAAGGATTGAAGCTTGCAGAAATTGAATATATATTAGCAAAAGTTTGAAGAATTTATCATGAGTTGGTTAGAGGTCTGTGCCCACCAACACAAGGACTGTGTATTTTTAATGTTTATTTTCTGTCACAGGGACCACCCGGAGAAGCTGGAATTCCTGGTCGCACTGGGGAAAAAGGAGATTTGGTGAGTGATTTTATGTTATTATCCATCACAATTTTTTGTGTGTTACAATCAATCAAAGAAGTAATTTCTGTCTTCTTAGTTTTGTTGAAGCATTATTTCTTCTCCTCATTCCACTCCTCCCTCCCCTTTTTCTCCTTCATCTGCTTCTTCTTCTCCTCCCAATAAAATATATTAAACATAAAAACGAAAATGGAGCATGTTGTGACCACTGGAAAGTGGAGCATGTTGTGACCACTGGAAAGTGGAGCATGTTGTGACCACTGGAAAGTGGAGCATGTTGTGACCACTGGAAAGTGGAGCATGTTGTGACCACTGGAAAGTGGAGCATGTTGTGACCACTGGAAAAGTGGAAAGAGCTGGAAAGTGGAGCATGTTGTGACTAAAGTGGGAGCATGTACCACTGGAAAGTGGAGCAATTGTGACACTGGAAAGTGGAGCATGTTGTGACCACTGGAAAGTGGACATGTTGTGACCATGGAAAGTGGAGCATGTTGTGACCACTGCAAAGTGGAGCATGTTGAACCGCTGGAAGGCTGTTGTCGACCACTGGAAAGTGGAGCTAAAGTGACATTGGAAAAAACCAAAAGTGGGAGCATGTTGTCCGCTGGAAAGTGGAGCATGTTGTGACCACAGGAAAGTGGAGCATGTTGTGATCGCAAAGTGGAGCAAGCAAGTGGAGCATGTTGTGACCGCTGGAAAAGTGGAGCCCATGTTGTGACCACTGGAAAGTGGAGCATGTTGTGACCACTGGAAAGTGGAGCATGTTGTGACCGCTGGAAAGTGGAGCATGTTGTGACCGCTGGAAAGTGGAGCATGTTGTGACCACTGGAAAGTGGAGCATGTTGTGACCGCTGGAAAGTGGAGCATGTTGTGACCACTGGAAAGTGGAGCATGTTGTGACCACTGGAAAGAAATGTGAAAAAAAAGAGGGCTAGACCTAAATTTGTATAGACCAATTGGCACGTGATGTGTGATGTGGTCAGTATCAAATGTGTCTGCCACCACTTCTTGGACTGCACTAAAGACTGTAAACCTGCCACCATTACTTTCTAAAGCACCTCTGTAACCTGCCACTTATTCTTCTCTGATGTGCGCCTGTCTGCCACCTGCCACCATTACTTCTCTGGACTGCGCCTCTGCCACCTGCCACCATTACTTCTCTGGACTGCGCCTCTGCCACCTGCCACCATTACTTCTCTGGACTGCGCCTCTGCCACCTGCCACCATTACTTCTCTGGACTGCGCCTCTGCCACAATGTGTTCTCTCTGGAAAGACCTCTGCCACATGTGCCACCATTACTTCTAAAGACTGCAAAAGTGTTGTCTTCTAAAGATTAAAAATGTTTCATCAGCCACCCTGACCAGAACCTGTAAATCCACAGTATTAGCCACTTTTCAGATGACACCCCCATGTCATGACTTTAATCATGGAAAAGGGCTGAAATGTTGTTCTTCTAAAGATGTAAATGTATTCTTCTAAAGATGTAAATGTGTTCTTCTACAGATGTAAATGTATTCTTCTAAAGATGTAAATGTGTTCTTTTAAAGATGTAAATGTGTTCTTCTAAAGCTGTAAATGTGTTCTTCTAAAGATGTAAATGTATTCTTCTAAAGATGTAAATGTGTTCTTCTACAAATGTAAATGTATTCTTCTAAAGATGCAAATGTGTTCTTCTAAAGATGTAAACATGTTGCACCCACTTACAGCATGACTCCAGTATTGACACTTTTCAGCCGACACATCTGACTTATGCAGGCATCTGTTGCTCAGGCTAGCCTTCTTGGATACGTCTTCATACAGTCAGTTGTGAAATCATGTTTTCAGTTTTTTCTTATAAAGGTTTCAGTTTGACAGCGCAATCTTTTCACTCAGAAACTGACTTTCCCGCCTTTTTTTCAGTGGTCTTTTCTTGTAACAGACATAATATAGTATTAAATGGACTCTACTGTTTGTTGTCTTCACAATACAAGTACACATATTGTTCTTGACCAAGACAAGATGGAAAGATAACATTAGAGAAACTCTACAACAGCCCAGTATGTCTATGGTTAAGGTGACTGAAGTGGTAACAGAGGAAGTGAAGAAGACAAAAAAGAAGAAGAATTTACCACTTTTAATTGTAATGTTGGAGGAGTTTTTGAAGTTTAGAATTGAGAGTTGCATGGCTAAGCTCATCACCATAAACTGTCTAGATCAGGATTGTTAATTTTGCTCCTAACAGAAAAATTGCCATCACCTCACTGAGAGTTTGAACTGGAGTCTCCTAATCAAAAATGTAGTAAGGTTTTGTATTTTCTTTATTACTAGGGTGAGGAAGGTCTGCCTGGTCCAGATGGTCCGGCAGGTCGGCCTGGGAGACCAGGAGAACGTGGTCCACCAGGTCAGCCTGGCCCACAGGGACCACCTGCAGACAAAGGTGTCGCTGGAGACCCAGGTAAGTAAATAAGTAAACTAAAACCACACAATCACGTGACAACAACTACAAAATCACATTACAATAACCACACATCCAGACAATTAGATGACAACACAGTCACACAACCACACAATCACATGACAACAACTACACAATCACATTACAATAAGCACATAACCACACAATCGCGTCACCACACAGTCACACAACCATACTATAACATGACAACAAACACCAATCATATGACAACAACTACACAATCACATGACCACACAACCACACAATCACATGACAACAACTACACATTCACATGACCACACAATCACACAGCCACACAATCACATGACAACAACTACACAATCACATGACCACACAATCACACGACAACAACAACAACAAAATTAATCACATAACACAAGAAGAAGAAACAATAAATAAGATAACACTGACTTTGAAATTAAAAAAGCAGTTTGGTGACATCTCTGGGTACATTTCTGTGTTAAAACTAAGTTTTCCTGTTTGAATTTAAATATTAAAAGCAAACAGTCATCACTGTTATGATAGTGTTGTGCCATTGTAGATAACATGGGGCCCAAGTTTATTCCTCCCTTTTATTGATCAGACAGGATTATCATCACAGCACTCTGGGCAGATCCATAGGTGCTCCGATCTCCTCTTCAAAAGCTCCACAAGTGTAAAACGACTGATGACGCCTGTTCTGTGTTGGTTAATGAAACGTTTTTTACCATTAATGAAATGTTCATTTTTTGCAGCTCCAGGCTGCACCCCCGATGTCCATCATCTAAAGACGTATAGTACGTTCTTATTCACATTGGACTACAAAATATGTGTAGCCTTTACAGGCATCCTAATTATAACTTCTTTGGAGGTTGAACTGGGTTTCTGGGATCTGTCTTGTTGGTCGGCCATCCAGACTGAGACTTTTTAATTTCAGGAGAGTAAGGTAAACTTTTAGGTAGCAGTTGAGAGGGGACAAACTGATTGACTCATCGAAGATGGACAATATAATACACAATTTATTGCCAGCCATTGGCTGAAAAAGAATACTTGGCATTAAGTAGCAAGACAAGATCACAAACATTTAGCTGTTGGAAAGATCAGGCATCTTCAATGCTGAGTCTACAAATGCTCAGGTGGCTGGGTCACACATGGAGAATGGAGGATGGCAAAGTCCCTAAGGACATCCTTCATGGTGAACTACAGATGAGTAGAAGATGTCAAAGGTGAACTCTGCTATGATATAAGAATGTATGCAGGTGGGACATGAATGATATAGGTATTAAGGTAGATTAGTGGGGGACAAAATGCCGTGAAACATTATACAAGGTGGGACAAAAATCAGGAAGGGAATGTGAATGAAGCAAAAATGATGCAGAAAGGATGAGAGCTGAGCATCTAAGAAGAAACACACTAAATAAATGTGATGACAACAACGGTCCTGAAATCCCATGCTCTAATTGTGGAAAACTTTTCTTGAGACGGCCAGGTTTTGCTAGCCACACCTGCCATCTCCATGGGCTTGAGTCCCATGCTTACTCAGAGTGCAATATAATTTTATCTTCTGGAAAAACACAAAGGCTCCAACAATGTTTGCTGTGTGTATTTCATTGCAAAGAATTAAATTGACATACAGTGAAGTTCAACACTGAATCCTTTTATCAGAATTACACAAACAAACCTAGTCAATGATGTCAGTGTCAATTTGTACTGTTTTTAACTGAACAAAGGAGAAAAAATAAAAAAAGATTGTTGAAAGATGATTTGTTTGTGTGAATAGGTCCCCCAGGACAACCTGGAGCTCCGGGCCGACCTGGTCCTCGAGGTGAGCCTGGTATCCAGGGTGAGCAGGGCTATGTTGGTCTCCCTGTAAGTATTCCTCTAACTCTGTTTCTTCTGCTTGCTCTCTGTTGTCCTAGTCTCTACAGGAAATCCTTGTTTCTGAATGTCCCTCAGTCAAGTGCTGTCTCCGCAGTGAAGGTTATCTGCAATGGATCTCCAGCATTCTCTCTTGCCCTCAGTGTTTACTGTACCAGACTGATCTTTATCCATCTCTTGAAGTTACAATCCCTATTGTATCATTGTCTACTGTTTGTTCACCCACTTTTACCACTTCCTTCTAGTATGATTTTTTAAAACACCGCTATGTGTTAATGTGGCTAAAATGTATCACATGTCTATATTTCGACTGCTTTCATCAACTCTCTTTTCATTTCCAATCTCTCTTTAAGAATTCTTTTTTTGATTGCTTTTTTTTCCCCTTAAAATATTTTACATATATCTATATCTTTTTTGTGGTCTTTTCTTTGCTCTGTATCATTGTAGTTTGTCTGTATGGCTGTCTGTAGCAAGTGGTAACAGACTTTCCCATCAGAGGGCCACACAATTTTATCTGCTACTCTTCAGTGATGTGTATTACTGGTTTTAGTCCTAGTTTTATTTTTATTTTTTATTTCTTTATTTTGAATTATTGTCTTTTCTTGTTACTCTTCTGCTCCTTTAAGATGTCTCGTCTCTGTTGTTATGATTTTACGCTCATTATATACCTAGGCATACCCTTTTTTGAAACAAAAATTTGGTGAATTGTATTACTGGTTTCAGTCCTAGTTTTTATTTTTATTTTTTTATTTCTTTATTTTAAATTATTGTCTTTTCTTGTAAGTTGTCGCTCTATTAAGATGTCTCATCTCTGTTGTTATGATTTTACACTCATTGTATACCTAGGCACATCTTTTTTATAAAAAAAATTTGAAATATTAACTTAATTAGCATGCAATTCTCAAGACTATTAATTATGTAACTGATGATATTTTCAGGGTGCCTCAGGATCTCCTGGCAAGAGAGGTGACGCAGGATTACCTGGACCCAAGGTAAGAACATCATCACATACAGGTATACTTAGTTTTGTGGCAGTTTATGATCAGCAGATTAGAGGCTAAACCTTCCCATGGGGGTTCCGAAGCCCCATTTTGGGGAGAAATAAGAACAGATTCCCGGCCCCATAACAAACATGTCATTAAGAAATGACTGATAGTCGCTGTATTCCCTTCAAAGTCAGAATTTGTCTGCCAGTGAGGTAAGAAACCAACAGTCTGCATACAAATAGGCCAGATCTGCAAAAAGGATGTGCACGCAAATGTCAAAATCTGGAACAAGATAAAAGTCAAGAGGCAGTCAAACAACTAATACTTTCCATCAGAATTTACAGCCAAAGAAGAAGAAAAAGCTGAACCAGTTTAATGGCAACAATATCTTATATCTAGCAACCTAGTTGTCATGGCAACACTCTCTTACATCTAGTAATGTTGAATCAAATTGAATGATTTCTTCAGATTTTTATATTTGAAAGACATATATAGATGAAGGAGCTGTAAAATTATAGATTTGCTATGATAATTAAATCCCTAACTGAGTTATTAAAATCACTTTGTACAAACATTGTTTCTGAGAACAAGCACCAGACACTAAATGTTGATTTCTATTTCAGGGTCAGCAAGGTGAGATAGGACCCCCTGGTGAAAGTGGCAGGACCGGCAGGAATGTAAGTTGTACTGTTGTTCTTTGTTTTCCTGCATGTAAGTTGTTACATTAAATGTTCTGTCTCTTTATTTTCACAATATAAGTTGTATGAATAGTTGTCTTTTATTTTCATGTTGTAAGTTGTTGTATTAATAGTTAGTCTCTTTATTTTTGTGTTATAAGTTGTTGTATTAATGGTTCTGTTCATTTTTTTATGCTGTAAGTTGTATTAATAGCTTTGTCTTTTATTTTCATGATGTAAGTTGTTGTTTTAATAGCTCTGTCTGTTAATTTTCATAAGTTGTTGTATTAATTGTTCTGCTTCTGTTTACATGATGTAAGTTGTTGTATTTATTGTTCTGCCTCTATTTTCATGATGTAAGTTAAATTAATTGTTCTGCCTCTATTTTCATGATGTAAGTTGTTGTATTAATTGTTCTGCCTCTATTTTCATGATGTAAGTTGTATTAATTGTTCTGCCTCTATTTTCATGAAGTAAGTTGTTTTATTGCATGTTCCTAATGTAAAAATAACACAGAGGACAGATTTTTGTGACAAGACATGTGATGATGACTTATGGGCTGTCACAATGTCCTGATTACAAGTTTTGTTTTGTTTATTTCTGTGTCTGAGTTTTATATGATGGTCTACACTTCTCACCTTGACATTTCACAGGGTGATGTTGGTGTTCCAGGCCGTCGGGGTGCTAATGGTGACCAGGGTGTATCAGGTCTGCCAGGAGAGCCTGGTCCAGCAGGACGCCCAGGTCCTGCTGGATTGCCAGGATCACAGGGAGCAAATGGTCCACCAGGACCACCAGGTCCTGCTGGAATTAAGGTAACAGAGCATGAGCACAGAAACCAGCTTAACTCTTTCACGAATTTTGACAGACTTACCCACATTAATTTCCCTTTACAAAAATGGCAGAGGGGTGGTGTTAAAAAAAAAAAAGCAATAGAAAATGTAATATACTTCTAATCCCTACAAAAGTATATAGTTTTTTAAAAGAAATAAATGTAGATTTTTAATATGATTATAAGTATGTGTTTAATACTGTTTTAGTTATAGTAAGTAAAAGAAAAAAAAGAGCCTTTTTTACGCCAACGCGCTTCAGGCATATGGGAAGAACATCCCATACTTTTACAAACCAATCAGCACTAGGTGGGTAATGTGGTCAGCATTTGCCGGCCATCTTTACTTCCCCAGGACAGCCATCCTGGTACCCACTTGAAGAAGAATTCATGATTTAGTCTGTCAGTCTACAAAAATGTTGTCACTTTTCTAAAATATTTCAGGGAACTTCAGGAGAGACAGGCAGAGCAGGTCAACCAGGAACTAATGGAGCACCAGGTCTGCCTGGCCCTACAGGTGGAAAGGGACCCCGTGGAGAGCAAGGCAGTCGGGTAAAGTTTACACAAATTTTTTAACTGATTTCAAGAGCAATCGACTACTGCAGTCAGATATGTTGAATGTTAAATTAAGAATCAACATCACATCACTTGGGAGACTCCCATAAGTGCAGTCAGATTAGTTGCAATATTGCTATTGGTTGCACTCTCATCCTTTGACTATGACATACACCAGCGGGTGCGCTGCCTTGACATTGGTGATCGTGCATGCACGCACACACACACACACAGACACACCCCATCACCCTAGCCTTTCATAGTCCAACTCTGCCTTGTTTATAGTCAGGCCACAGTTGTGTTTTTCTTGATGGCAGGAAGCACTGTCTTGCTGTTATTTTAGGTTAGGGAAAAATAAGACACCGCTATCGTATCTCTGTTTATTCTAATTTTAGTCACAGCAACTAACTAAATCGTTACAACAGGTATAGAGCGAGTGGGAGACCTCGGAAAAGATGGAGGGATGGCATTAAGAACAGCCTTACAGAAATGAACATCAGTCTTAATAGTGCTCTTGACAGAGCTTATCAACGAATGTTACATTTCCCTCTGACACTTTATAAGGTACACGGTTTAAGAGTAGAAGAAGAAGAAGAAGATGTCACAGGAAGTTGCTGGATAGATGGTTAAACACCAGTATAGACACAAGTGATTATCTGTTGCTTTTCCCCCACATCAAGTGTTTATATAACTGATACAATGTCTCCAGGGTACAAATGGATGCTTTGAAGTTGCTGCACACAACATTTTACTACTCTGGAAACTGTCAGTCATCATCACCATGTTGTATTGTATTACCTCTTACAGGTCTCGCTGTCTCGTCCTCCATTCTAGTCTTTCCTCTGCAATTCTCTTGATATCATCCAGTCCAGCATCTTTGGCTTCCCTCAGACAACATTTCTCTCAGGGTTTCTCTTGGGCAGACTCATTTTCTCAGTCTATTTCTTTTCTGTTTCAAGGTCTTTTCAGTGATTCTCTATCTGCTTCTCCTTTTGATTTGTCCACTATACTGGCTTCTAATGTGTCTTTCTGTTGATGCACAGCAGTTTTTCAGACATTTGTCTTATTTCTTTGCCCTTTTTGTGTGTGTGTATGTTTTTTGAAATCTTTTTATTTTTATTTTTTATTAATTCATTTCAATGCTCATTACTTTCCTGAGGCATGTGTTGCAGATGCATTGAATTTTCATTAGAGTGCATGAATATATCAATTTTATGATACTGATCAGGATATCTACAATTTGTTTTGTTGGAGTGATATAAGAGATGTGACTCTTTGAGTCACTGTGCTGTCAAACTTTTAGTGACAGTCGTGGAATACATTACATAAAAAAAAATTGATATTTAATTGTGATTTTTTTTTTATTGGGGTAGGGGGGGGGGGGGGCCTTATATCTCCACTACTACTATGGCACTAGATTTGAACTGAAAGCTGGGAAAGCCAACCTGGGCAAAAAAAGACCTGCAGAAGCTGGATGTATCGGTTGAAAGGTGCAAATATCACAGCCATGTTGTAAACGGGAACAACATCTTTACTTCTTCAGATGAACTTTAGAAGAATTAGAAAAACTGAAAGTAGATATGCTTATATCATCTACTGTGTCAATCCTTATCACAAAAGTAATGGCCAGTTGTATTTTTTTTATTGCAAAATGTAGTAAGACCACCAAGACTACATGATTAACAGATCATAAAATATGTGCAACTGGGAATGGATAATGCAAGGAATACAAGAAACACTAATTTTGTCACTGCAGCTTTCCTCTCCCTTTGTAGTGAAATAATAATGAGACAGATCAGAGATAGACCTTGCTGTGCGGTTTTCAGGACCACATGACGAGGAAAACAAGACTAGACCAACTACACTCATAACAAGCATGTCGTAAGAGTCAGCCAGTTGGGGACCGGGTGGGGGGGGGGGGGGGTGTCCTTAAAGTCAGAGTGCCTCTGCCTGAGAGCCTGCATATAAAATCAGATCTGTAAAGAACTGCAAACACTCAAGTTCTGGAACAAGACCAAAGTCCAGAAGTAAACGAACAACCAGAACTTTCCAGTGGAGTTGACAGCCAGTGAACACAAAGAATGCCCTGGTACCAACTGCCACAGAGAGCCACACTGATGAAATATAATGAACACAGCAGAGCAAGGAGAAGACCATGCAAGAGATGGAGCGACACCATCAGGAGCAACTTAACAGAAATCAACACCAACTTGGGCAATGCATTGGAAAAAGTGCACAAACGAACCTTAAATCTCCACCCAACACCTCGCTGAGGTAAATGGTGGAAGAGAAAAGAAGAAGAATACAAAGAAGAAGAAGAAGAAGAAGAAGAAGAAGAAGAAGAAGAAGAAGAAGAAGAAGAAGAAGAAGAAGAAGAAGAAGAAGAAGAAGAAGAAGAAGAAGAAGAAGAAGAAGAAGAAGAAGAAGAAGAAAGACAGATAGACCAGAAATATGATTTGGAGGTTGCAAAAATATAAACAGTCTGCACTGTGCAGATGATTCAGTATTGAGAGCTGAAAATACTCAAGATGGACATTGTGGTAAATCTGTAGAGGTAATTTCCTGGGAAGAAAAGATGGCTGGCCTCAGTGCCAGTTGATCCTTGAGTCCAGGATTGTATGCCTGATGCATTACTGGTGTAAAACGAAACCTTTATTTACTCAAACCAGTATCTGTTGTCTTTTCTTCCTCCTCCTTCTTCTTCTTCTTTTTCATCACTCATTTTACTAGTTTGGGTGTTGAGGGAGATTCAGGGTTCTGGTTCTCACTCTTCAGGCCACCTTGCTTGTGGTCGCTTGATACTGCTGTAGTTTCTTTGAGTTTCCACCTTTTTTCTTTATCTTTGTCTCTTCAACCGTCTCCTCTTCTGGTGTTTAGTTTTTCACAGTATGCATTCTGTCTAAGTGAAAAAGCATAAATATTTATTTGCTGTCTTTTTATGTTAGTTAGTTCTCTGTCAGATTTGTCTCTTATGTGTTAACTGTATTTCTTCTGGCCACTGTTCCAGCTTTTCTCACTTTCTCAGACATCTCATTATGTTGGTTACTAATGTTCATTTTCATGCTGATTTTGGCAACCAGTTGTAAATGTTTCCTGCTCATGATATGAATTATCTTCCCCTAACAGGGACCTGAAGGTCCTATAGGTCCCCAAGGATCTCAGGGTCGCAGAGGTGAACCGGGTCTTCCTGGAATCCCTGGACGGGGTGGACCTCCAGGGCAGCCTGGTTTGAAGGGTCCGCGGGGTTCTCCTGGACCTAATGGTAAGTCATCATCATCATCATTATCTTTATCCAGTAGTGTCATTATATGTCACTCAGGGCTCACAGTCTATGCCTCAATTCCATTCTGTCCTGTGCAGTTCTTCTGATATTATTTAATGCCTCTAGTGTCTCATAAGACATTGTGTATAAGTTTCATCTTGTAGGCATCAAAAGTTGATATTCTGCTGTTTGTGTAGTTGCACAGACACATGTATGTCCTTTTATTTTGTGGGCAACAAAAGTTAATACCTCTACTGTACCCATGTTTCATGTTATCTTATAACTTCTAGTATGTGTTTCATGGCTCAGACCTTATGTATATCTGTCTATCTTGTGGACAACAAAAGTTAATACCTCTACTTATACCTACATTTTGTTCCATCGAATACTTTCTAGTGTGTGCATCATGACTGAGACCTTGCAGATATATTTCTATCTTGTCAGTGACAAAAGTTAATACCTCTACTGTACCCATGTTTCATGCCATCTAATGCTTCTAGTATGTGTATCATGGCTCAGACCTTGTGTAAATCTTTCTGTCTTGAAGGCAATGATGGTTACCCAGGGAAGCCTGGTGAGATCGGAGCTGCAGGACCTCCAGGACCTGTCGGTGAGCCTGGAGTTGTAGTGAGTATCTCATTGTTGGTTATTATTCTTATTTTAGCATAGCTAGTTTTGAACCAACTCATTTTCCCATGTGGGTTCCAAAGTCCCATTTTAAGGGAAAAAAGATTAGACCGGCTGTCCCTAATAAGATAGTTGCATATACTTTACAATATGTAGAACTAACCACAACGATTTTTAGGCTGCTTTTGATTTCATTAGCTCTAGATACCATGATCGAAACTGATGAAAGGCTGTCTGCTGCCAAATCACTTGCAACTGGCATAGAACCTGGCACCTTAGAGTTACGACTAATTCTAAATGTTTCCTTTCAAGTCAGAATACATCTGCCTGAGAGGCAAGGAAGCAACAGTCTGCATACAAATAAGTCATATTTGTAAAATGGCTTTTGCCAGCAACACTCAAGTCTTGGAACAAGACTAGAGTCCAGAAGTGGGCAAACAACCAGAACTTTCAACCAGAACTTTCAACCAGAACTTACAACCAGAACTTTCAACCAGAACTTACAACCAGAACTTACAACCAGAACTTACAACCAGAACTTACAACCAGAACTTACAACCAGAACTTACAACCAGAACTTACAACCAGAACTTACAACCAGAACTTACAGCCAGAATTTACAGCTGGTAACACAAGTCCATAAGTGCTTGAATCCCATCTTCAGTACCTCCCCCAGCATCTGGCGACTGATAAAACCAGTTCTCTGTTGGTTTACTATTCTTATGTGGCTACCTGTATAATGTTCTTGTCTGGCATCACCTCTTTTAAAATGACATTCTTGTAGTCTTCTCGGTATTGCCAGTTCACCATCATCTCCTCAATCATCTACTCATCCTGACTTCTTGAAAGCACTAAGAACATCAGCTCGGTCTATTGCTTTTCCTGTGCATATGTTGGCCTGGCCAGAAAGCCAGTCGGCTCATTCCTTGCCTCTTACCCCAGAGTGTCCTGACAAACAATGAACCTGATTCCTGTCAGATGAGACTTCATCAAAGATTCCAACAACTGTCTTTGAACCCATCCAATCTCAGTCTTCTTAAGCATATTCATAGAATCAGTATTTTAGCTGCAAAAGTGGAGCAAAAAAAACCAGATCACAAATAACGAGACTGTGGCAGCTTTGCGCTACCAACAGCAGGTTGAACAGGGTCGAGTCTTTGTTTTTTATTCTAGAACTGTAATGGTAACATAGAATCAGCTAGAAAGCATGGATAAGGCCCCAAAAAAGGGGGAGGTGGTGGGGGGGGGGGGGGAGAGGTCTCTAGACAGGTAATATCTTAAAACCAACCATTCCTCAGCATGTTGTATGTCCTCAGGGGAACAAACCTGTTAAATAATGTCCTCAGCCTGACCTTTCCAAGATATTCCTCTTGAACTTGCTACTTTACTTCCTGTGAATCTCAGTGTGCAGTGGATGATGTGTGTCGGCACTGACTCGCAAATTCAGAAGTGCATGAGATCGTTGTTCTAAGTGTTAGTGAATGAGTATTTAAGGCCTGTACTTGTACATTAGTTTTATAATGGATTAAATTGCTTGTGTGGATCAGATTTATCTCTTCAGTTCCGGCAATTGTAATTTTGTGTGTACAACTGTAGGGAGCACCAGGAAACCCTGGAGCTCCGGGCATCCAGGGCAGGCCAGGAGAGAAAGGTCCAGATGGCGATATTGGACCCCCGGGACCTCCAGGAAGTCCTGGATTCCAGGGTCCGGCTGGACCTGCTGGCAGCACTGGGCCTCCAGGAGAGAGAGGACCTCGGGTAAGTCGTGTCACAATTAGTGCATATTATGATTGTGAATGCACATTTTACTTCATTGAGCACTGTGACCACTGGAAAGATCTGTAGAAAGAGAGGCAGAAGAAAACAAATGTGAAGATTCTTGTCAGCCAATTGGCATGACATGGAGGAATGTCAACACACAAACTGATAACCACAGTTGCAGATTGTGGAGAGGCATGATCGCCTATGCCAGTCGGCAAAGTATTTGATGATGTTGATGATGAGCAGTGAGAATTTCTTTCTGTGCATTTCTTTTCTGAAGTTGTTTTTTTTTTAAATTTTTTTTATATGTTTCTGTACAATACAGCCAAACTGATTTTGTCTCCATGTTTCTGTACAATACAGCCAAACTGATTTTGTCTCCATGTTTGTGCACAATACAGCCAAACTGATTTTGTCTCCATGTTTCTGCACAATACAGCCAAACTGATTTTTTCTCCATGTTTGTTGCGCAATACAAGCCAAACTGATTTTGTCTCCATGTTTGCACAATACAGCCAAACTGATTTTTGTCTCCATGTTTGTGCACAATACAGCCAAACTGATTTTGTCTCCATGTTTGTGCACAATACAGCCAAACTGATTTTGTCTCCATGTTTCTGCACAATACAGCCAAACTGATTTTGTCTCCATGTTTGTGCGCAATACAGCCAAACTGATTTTGTCTCCATGTTTGTGCACAATACAGCCAAACTGATTTTGTCTCCATGTTTGTGCGCAATACAGCCAAACGGACAATACAGCCAAACTGATTTTGTCTCCATGTTTCTGCACAAATACAGCCAAATGATTTTGTCTCCATGTTTCCACAATACAGCCAAAAACTGATTTTGTCTCCATGTTTGTGCACAATACAGCCAAACTGATTTTGTCTCCCATGTTTGTGCGCAATACAGCCAAACTGATTTTGTCTCCATGTTTCTGCACAATACAGCCAAACTGATTTTGTCTCCATGTTTCTGCACAATACAGCCAAACTGATTTTGTCTCCATGTTTGTGCGCAATACAGCCAAACTGATTTTGTCTCCATGTTTGTGCACAATACAGCCAAACTGATTTTGTCTCCATGTTTGTGCGCAATACAGCCAAACTGATTTTGTCTCCATGTTTCTGCACAATACAGCCAAACTGATTTTGTCTCCATGTTTCTGCACAATACAGCCAAACTGATTTTGTCTCCATGTTTCTGCACAATACAGCCAAACTGATTTTGTCTCCATGTTTCTGCACAATACAGCCAAACTGATTTTGTCTCCATGTTTCTGCACAATACAGCCAAACTGATTTTGTCTCCATGTTTCTGCACAATACAGCCAAACTGATTTTGTCTCCATGTTTCTGCACAATACAGCCAAACTGATTTTGTCTCCATGTTTCTGCACAATACAGCCAAACTGATTTTGTCTCCATGTTTGTGCACAATACAGCCAAACTGATTTTGTCTCCATGTTTGTGCGCAATACAGCCAAACTGATTTGGTAAATATAGAGGTAAATATTCAAAGATAAATGTATAGGTTTGATTTGTGTGGAAGTTGTTACAACATGGAAATAAATTATTGCAATAAAGTTTTCACTCAGCTCACAACATTGTCCAAGCTGTTCATTATTCACACAGTCTCCTGCTCAAAATGAATTATAAATTTTACAAGAGAAGACTGGATAAAAATATTGCGATGTTGTCTCAAATTGGGTGCTCACTTACATAAAAGAAAGCAAAAAGCGGGTACTTTAATTTCAAGTCATCCCAAACAAAGGAAATCCCAGAGTTCCTGGGGAAGATTAAAATTATGACATTATGAGATCGGATTAGGGTTAGCATCTTTGTCAGCCCAGATCACCACAGAGACACTGACTAACCCTAACCCTAACTCTATCCCTAATTCTAACCTTAACCCCAATCCATAACACCCCTTGAATAGTTGACTTTCTCAGGAATTCCAGGATTTCTTTTGTTTGGGATGGCTTAAAATACCCACATAGTATGAAGACATTGTAGCATTTCACACTCTAGATCACACGTTAGGTCACAAGATTCAACATCAGATGCTGAAAGAACATATTATCTAAAATCTATTTAGTAGGAAAATTAAAAGAACCAAAGCTGCCATTGGAGTGGCCAGATGTTTTTAGTGTGTCTTGATCAAATGGAAAAAGGAGGAAGATGCAGGAGGTTATGTTCTGGACACCTTTTGGGAAACTAGTCAGTCATGCCTCCTGCAATTCTTGCAAATGAAAGAGTTTATTGATGAATATCTAATACAATTTAAATTTGAAGCAGAGTTAGGACTCAGGAAAACTGTGATGCAGTGTATTTATTGTGCATAATCTTTATGCTCTTTCTGTAAATTATCCAGGGAGAGAATGGACCAGAAGGACCACGTGGGCCCATGGGTCATACAGGAACACCTGTAAGTGGGTTTTATCTTATACATCTGTATTGTTCTGTGTTTGTTCAATGTTTTACTTGTCCAGTATCTTGTTCTTTTGTTAGATATTGCTTGGTGTTCTGCATATTTATTGAGCATTCAATTTAAAAAATATATTAATTAGCCTATTTTTTTCTTGTGTGGACTTAAGTATCTTATTCTGGGAGAAAACCTAATAAACCTGCTGCCCTTCTTCTCCGTGAGAATCTTGAAAAATGATATTTTTCTAATTTCTTAGTGAAAAAACCTTACAGTTCTGTGAAACTCTATTCTAAGAAACTAGAGAAAGGAAAAGGCACTGGAAGAAAAGGCAGAGGAAGTAGAGGGCACTGATAGAAAAGGAAGAGGAAGGAAAGGAAAAGCAGAAGAAAGGTTCTGTAAGCTAAAGTCATTTTTTTTTTTATTCAGCTCTCTCAGGATGTGAACCCATGACCACTGGACTCACAGGTGAGCATTTACCCACTAGAGCATGATGGCTCGCCCAGATAAAACAATTACAGAAAGCTGTAGTGACCATTATGTATGCAAAATGAAGGTTTTCTCTGTAAAAATTATATTCATCTGGCTATTTCCTTGACAGGGGCCGCAAGGACCTCAAGGTCCAGACGGTCAAGATGGAGACATAGGAGAACCTGGAGCCAGGGGAGACCCCGGCCTGCCTGGACTGACCGGACTTACTGGACCAGAGGTAGGAATTGATTCTTTCTTGATCTGTTGTGATGCCATAGATGTGTTATACTATGGGTGTGTGTGATGCCATAGATGTGTTATACTATGGGTGTGTGTGATGCCATAGATGTGTTATACTATGGGTGTGTGTGATGCCATAGATGTGTTATACTATAGGTGTGTGTGATGCCATAGATGTGTTATACTATGGGTGTGTGATGATGCCATAGATGTGGTTATACTATGGGTGTGTGTGATGCCATAGATGTGTTTATACTATGGGTGTGTGTGATGCCATAGATGTGTTATACTATGGGTGTGTGTGATGCCATAGATGTGTTATACTATGGGTGTGTGTGATGCCATAGATGTGTTATACTATGGGTGTGTGTGATGCCATAGATGTGTTATACTATGGGTGTGTGTGATGCCATAGATGTGTTATACTATGGGTGTGTGTGATGCCATAGATGGTGTTATACTATGGGTGTGTGTGATGCCATAGATGTGTTATACTATGGGTGTGTGTGATGCCAAAGATGTGTTATACTATGGGTGTGTGTGATGCCATAGATGTGTTATACTATGGGTGTGTGTGATGCCATAGATGTGTTTATACTATGGGTGTGTGTGATGCCATAGATGTGTTATACTATGGGTGTGTGTGATGCCATAGATGTGTTATACTATGGGTGTGTGTGATGCCATAGATGTGTTATACTATAGGTGTGTGTGATGCCATAGATGTGTTATACTATGGGTGTGTGTGATGCCATAGATGTGTTATACTATGGGTGTGTGTGATGCCATAGATGTGTGATACTATAGATGTGTGATACTATAGATGTGTGATACTATAGATGTGTGATACTATAGATGTGTTATACTATGGGTGTGTGTGATGCCATAGATGTGTTATACTATGGGTGTGTGTGATGCCATAGATGTGTTATACTATGGGTGTGTGTGATGGCTTGGGTATGAGTTTTTGTTCTGATTGATGTTTTTATTCTGAGTGATATCTGTGTTATGTGTGATGTCTGTGTGATGTCTGTGTTATGTGTGATGTCTGCGTTATGTGTGATGTCTGTGTGATGTCTGTGTTATGTGTGATGTCTGCGTTATGTGTGATGTCTGTGTTATGTGTGATGTCTGTGTTATGTATGATGTCTGTGTTATGTGTGATGTCTGTGTTATGTGTGATGTCTGTGTTATGTGTGATGTCTGTGTTATGTGTGATGTCTGTGTTATGTGTGATGTCTGTGTTATGTGTGATGTCTGTGTTATGTGTGATGTCTGTGTTATGTGTGATGTCTGTGTTATGTGTGATGTCTGTGTTATGTATGATGTATGTGTTATGTGTGATGTCTGTGTTATGTATGATGTCTGTGTTATGTGTGATGTCTGTGTTATGTGTGATGTCTGTGTTATGTGTGATGTCTGTGTTATGTGTGATGTCTGTGTTATGTGTGATGTCTGTGTTATGTGTGATGTCTGTGTTATGTATGATGTATGTGTTATGTGTGATGTCTGTGTTATGTGTGATGTCTGTGTTATGTGTGATGTCTGTGTTATGTGTGATGTCTGTGTTATGTGTGATGTCTGTGTTATGTGTGATGTCTGTGTTATGTATGATGTCTGTGTTATGTGTGATGTCTGTGTTATGTGTGATGTCTGTGTTATGTGTGATGTCTGTGTTATGTATGATGTATGTGTTATGTGTGATGTCTGTGTTATGTGTGATGTCTGTGTTATGTGTGATGTCTGTGTTATGTGTGATGTCTGTGTTATGTATGATGTATGTGTTATGTGTGATGTCTGTGTTATGTGTGATGTCTGTGTTATGTGTGATGTCTGTGTTATGTGTGATGTCTGTGTTATGTGTGATGTCTGTGTTATGTGTGATGTTTGTGTTATGTATGATGTCTGTGTTATGTGTGATGTCTGTGTTATGTGTGATGTCTGTGTTGTGTGTGATGTCTGTGTTATGTGTGATGTCTGTGTTATGTATGATGTATGTGTTATGTGTGATGTCTGTGTTATGTGTGATGTCTGTGTTATGTGTGATGTCTGTGTTATGTGTGATGTCTGTGTTATGTGTGATGTCTGTGTTATGTGTGATGTCTGTGTTATGTGTGATGTCTGTGTTATGTGTGATGTTTGTGTTATGTATGATGTCTGTGTTATGTGTGATGTCTGTGTTATGTGTGATGTCTGTGTTATGTGTGATGTCTGTGTTATGTGTGATGTCTGTGTTATGTGTGATGTCTGAGTTATGTGTGATGTCTGAGTTATGTGTGATGTCTGCATTATGTGTGATGTCTGTGTTATGTGTGATGTCTGAGTTATGTGTGATGTCTATGTTATGTGTGATGTCTGCATTATGTGTGATGTCTGTGTTGTGTGTGATGTCTGAGTTATGTGTGATGTCTGAGTTATGTGTGATGTCTGTGTGATGTGTGATGTCTGTGTTATGTGTGATGTCTGTATTATGTGTGATGTCTGCGTCATGTGTCATGTCTGTATTATGTGTGATGTCTGTATTCAGAGTGAGGTCTGATGTTTGATTTTTTTTTTTTTTTCTGAGTGATATTTTTGTAATGTCTGTGTTCTGAGTGATAACTTTGGTCTAAAAGATGTTTGTAGTCTTAGTGCTGTCTTTGCTTTGATTGATATTTTTCTTCTGAATGATATGTTTTATTTTAATACTGTCTATGGTATCAGGGAAAATTTTACCATATAAATGGAATACATACCATTTTCTGTTAGTCCTTACATTCGGCTACTACTCTATTGACCAACTTTACAGCCTCAGAATTAAACTGATGTTGGGTTTAATTTGAGTAAAGCTAGTCATCCTTTATTGTTGTTCAAGTCTGCAGGAAAAAATAAACCTCTATCAGTAGATCAACTCTGACATCTATACGTTTGTCAGAAACAAACACAATGTAATGCAAAACACTACCATGTAATGCAAAACACTACCATGTAATGCAAAAACACTGTAATGCAAAAACTACCATGATGCAAAAACACTTGTAATGCATCCATGACAAAACTGTGCATCTTGTGCCGTCCGAAATGGAAAATAGGTTCTGAACCAACAAACAGTAGTAGTTATTTCAAAAATGATATCCTGTTCAACCCATCTGTGTGTTGATTGGGTTATAGAGATTTGCTTTCTCTTTTAGATATTGCTCATCAATTTTACTAGGTTTATACCTGGTTGTTCACTTTTGCTGTTGTTGATATTTTTATGTTTGACCTTTTCTAGGGACCAGATGGTGACCCAGGTCCAAAGGGACCTCCCGGACCTCAGGGTCCCAGGGTAAGTCCATGTTTGTCCTTTGTAGTATTGAGTGTGTATATACAAACAGACTACACACAGACTACACACACACACAGACATATACACACTTAAACATGTCACAGGGTGAGTCCATGTTTGTCCTCTGTAGTAATCAAGGTGTGTAGGGATACAAACACACACACACACAAACTTCCCACAGAGAGACACATAGACACACACACACTACACAAAGGCAGACACATAGACACACACAGACACAGACACACACACTGCACAAAGACAGGCACACACAGACACATAGACACACACACACACACTACACAAAGACAGTCACATAGACAAACACACACACACACACACACACACGCACATATCCCAGGATCTAACAGCAAGTCCATGTTTGTTCTGTGACATTATTAATATATAGAGAGAGATGTGTGACACACAAACACACACTAAACATATATATAAATACACAACACTGACATACCCACAAGAGCACACACTACCCACAGATACACACACACACACATACAACAGTAACATACCCACAAGTGCGCACACTACTCATAGACACACACATATCCCAGGATCTAACAGCGTCCATGTTTGTTCTGTGACATTATTAATGTATAGAGAGAGAATGTGTGACACACACACACACACTACACATATAATATATAAATACACAACACTGACACACCCACAAGTACACACACTACCCACAGATACACACACACACACATGTTGGATTCATGGCGTGGTGTAGATTGCTTAAAATAATAAGATAGTATAATACTAGGAAGCCTAATGGCATAGGGGCTAGATGCTTACCTGCTGGCCCAAACCTCTTGAGATTGAATCCTCATCAAGGCTCAATCTGTATCAAACAGTTTGCACCGGAAATAAAGGAATACAGGAATAGACTCTGAGCTCTAGTTGTGTGTAAATGGCACAGCAGGATGATGATGATGATGACGATGATGATGAATTATGATGAATGATGACGATGACAGTGAATGATGACAATGATGATGATATGGTTATCAAAGGTAAATAACTCTGCAACATTTGGATCGAAAACAACTAACAGGAATTATAACTTGCACTTATGAGGTTAAAGATAACAAGACATATCATTGAAACATGCTGCATATAGATAACATATTTCAATCTTTCCAAACAGGGCCCAGAAGGTCCACGAGGCCCAATTGGTCCTGACGGTGAAGATGGACCACCGGGCCCACCTGGCCCACGGGTGAGTATCAATAGAAATCAGTCAGCATGAATAAGGTTTTAGGTGTGTTGTTTGTGGTTTTTTTTTTTCCATCTTTCAAATAAGTTCATGTCCCAGTCTAGCTGAAGGATGACATTTTCAGAGGAATCTACAGTTGTTGTATTTTTTGTATGCTTTTATTAATGTTGCTTTTGTTTGTTTATTGTTAGGTTGTACATCATATACAGACAGTTTTTTATTGGGGTCTCAGAGAAAATAAACTAGAACATATCCTGACAAAAGAAAGATTTGTGACAAGAGAGGCAGAGGAAGACAAGGCAAGAAGACTCTTTAAAGACAGCCTTTCATCGTGGCTTGAAGGGGTGTCAGCACATGATACATGCTGCTGGAAGCTGAAAATTGTGGAGAAGCATGATGATCCATGCCATGTGCAAGACACTTGATGATGATGATGATGATGACAATCTGATGCCTAGCCTTCACAAAGGGTAACACATTGGAGGAAAAAAAAGGGCCCCTTAAAAAGTACCAAGGTATTTTCGTACGTTAGTGTTGCATATTGAAATAGCGAGGATGCCCGATTTTACTGACTACCCCTTGGGCCTTTGATGCTAAACCACTTTAGACTCAAAGAGTTGAAAATATTTTAGTTTCAGTGTTATATTATAATGGCAAGCCATTTTGGGGTGCAGATTTTAGGATATAATTGTTGTGGGTGTGGTTTAAGGAAAGGGGGGGGGAGGGTTTAGACCTACTGCTCTTTAACAAACATATAGTTGTTGCAAAAAAGCAACTAGTTAGGGATTTGCTGAAATTCGATGCGTTAAGCCGAAAGACGCAGATATCCCAGCCTAGCTGTAAACCACAACATGTGTCAATCACTTTATTTAAAAAAAAAAAAACGGGAAGAAGATGATGGTTGGCATGACTGTTTGTTGAAAAAGGGTTGAAACATACCTACAAACACTTGAAGTTACCAACTGGAAAGACAAGGCCAATCACAGAAATGAATTGAAGCTGGTGATATCTACAGCAATGGACCTCAAAGGCTCAGAATGCTGTCAAAAAACGAAGAAGGAGAATGAGCAGCAACAGCAGCAACATAATATTATTTCTACAAGAATACGCTTTTGTGTTCAGTATTATAATTGTTTTCTTTTTCTTTTTTTCTGTTGAATTTAGGGTCCTCGAGGTCCTGCAGGCGAAGACGGGCGAAGGGTGAGCTCCCTTTTATTTGAATTATTTATGCATTAAGTCAGTGGCTCTAAACCTTTCCAATGCTGTGACCCATTTATACAGCTCCTCATGTTGTGGCGATCCCCAATCATAATATTATTTTCGTTGCTACTTCATAACTTTAGTGAATTTGTGTCGTCCGATGGTCTTTGGCGACCCCTATGAAATGGTTGTTCGATCCAGAAAAGAGTCATGACCAACAGGTTTAGAGCCACTGCGTTGAGTTATTACTAAGTATACAGAAACAAGTTAGTTAGTTGGGTTATCATCATTGCACTGTGGGCACATCCATAGGTGCTCAGATCCTGCTGTCACAATCAACCCCAGCGTTTTGTGGCAAATAGTACCAGTTCTATGTTGATTAACAAGTCCTTTGATGTGCCTGATGTGCGTCTTGTTTTTTGCTATGCGGATCTTAACTCCTAAGTCTTTCATTCTGGCAAATGATGTGGATTCACGGAGCCCAAAGTCCTCCACCCTTCTCATTTCTCAGAGGGCATTATCAATACGAGCATGATCCATAGGTTGACCATCGGTAGTGATAGCTGATCCAGCCAACCTATCACCTCTTTTATTTCTATCAATGCCTACATTTTCCAGAATGAAAATAAAGGTGACTTTATACACAGCTTGATACTTCTTCTTCTTCTGCCTTTCTATCCCCCAATATTGCATAGGCCCTCAACCAACTCATGCCAAGTCGTTCTATCCTTCGCCATTGCATGGAGCTCTCCCCATGTCCTCCCAATCTTTCTAACCTCATTCTTCAGCTCTCTTCTCCATGAGTTTTTTGGCCTTCCTTTATTCCTATGCCCCTGATGCTTGATACAGCCCACTAAAATGTTCTGCCAAGAAGCCTATTGAAGGTTTGGTGGTACCCCAGATTTTTGAGACTAATCAGCATTTGCTAGAGAGTGCAGTCATATGAATATAACAACTTTAGGCTAATACTCTAAGGACATCTTCTGTGGGGATTACAGATGGGTAGAAGTTGTCGAGGCCGACCTCTATTACGACATAAAGATGAGTGTGAGCGGAACATGAATGTTAGAGGTACTAAGGTAAATTTGTGGGAACAAAATGGCATGAACCATGTTTTTTTTGGAGGGGGCACAGCCAGAAGAGAATGAGAATAAAGAAACAAATGATTGCAGAAAAGATGAGCGCTGAGCGTCGGAGAAAAAAACACACACAGTATATACATTGGATGGTAGCAGTGGTGTAGAACTCCCATGCTTTACACGTGGAAAAACTTTTCTTAACGCGGGCGGGTCCTGCTTCTCACACTCGCCATTTCCATGGGCTGTGAGTCCCATGTCTCCTCGTAGCCTCAGTATAACACTATCATCTGGAAAAATGAAGAGGTGCCAACAACAACAAAAACATAAATACAGGAGTGCAGCACAGATCGACGTTGATAAAATGGGGGAGTTAACGGCTATTTAGACAGTCATGAGTCAGCATGCCAGTTGGACATGAAAAAGGTGAAAAAAAATTAAAAGTAAAGTAAAGATCCCTTTTTATGCCTTAGGCACGTAGGGCATAAGGGAAGAGCACCCATATTTTTGCAGACCAATCGGCACGAGCTGGGTAATGTGGTCAGCATTGCTCCAGCTGTCTTTACTTTCCCAGGACATACATCCTGGTACCCATTTAAGGCTGGAGCGACCCGTGATGCCACATACAATGAAAAAAAATCCACGCAGACAACAGTTGGTTTTGATCATGGTATGTTGGAATTCGAGTCGGACTCGCAAGGCCTAAACCATGGACGCCGCACGTGAAAAAGGGGCCATGACTATGACAGACAAGAAGCTTTTAAATTTAAAGAAATTTTCATTATTTTAAATAATAACAAAAAAACGTTAAGAAATAAATTCCATGCACAGCGAAACTTTCTTCTGCCTTCTATTCCCCAGTGGAGCATAGGCCCTCAACCAACTCATGCCAAGTTGTTCTATCCTTTGCCAGTGCATGCCTCTGACCCAGCCAGTGCAAACCCCTCACCCAGCCAGTACATGCCTCTCACCCAGCCAGTGCATGCCTCTCACCCAGCCAGTGCATGCCTCTCACCCAGGCAGTGCATGCCTCTCACCCAGCCAGTGCATGCCTCTCACCCAGCCAGTGCATGCCTCTCACCCAGCCAGTGCATGCCTCTCACCCAGCCAGTGCATGCCTCTCACCCAGCCAGTGCATGCCTCTCACCCAGCCAGTGCATGCCTCTCACCCAGCCAGTGCATGCCTCTCACCCAGCCAGTGCATGCCTCTGACCCGTGTCCTCCCTAACCTTTTAACTTTACTCTCTAGCTGCCTTCTTCGTGTGTTTTATGGTCTGCCTTTATTTCTATGCTGTGTGAGTTCCAGTGCAAAGACTTTCTAGTTATACTGTTCTCAGGTTTTCACAACATATGTCCAATGCAGCATCTTTTTCTCACCTCTTGTTCCACTGGAACCTGTTTAGTTCTCTGCTAAATCTCCACATTAGAGATTCTGTCATACCATATAATTCCCTGTATTCTGCGCAGGCAGATGTTAATTAATGTTTTTAGTTTATTAGTAATTTGCTCTTATTCTCCATGGTTTCGCTGCATACAGAAGTACTGGTGTGACATTAGAATGTGTTATAGAGTAACTAATAGATGAAATTTGAGAAACCTGGTACTGAAAGAGTTAACTGCCCATGTAAGGTCATGTAACTCATCCCTGTTTGTCTCCTAGTAGTATTAGTTTAATCAATAATATCCTATTTGGCTTATCTGGGTTATAATGGGATATATCAGAAGTTATTCTTTTTCAGTAATGGATATTTATGCTTATCATTTGCTTTTGGTTCTTTAGTATTTCATTTATATTTTGGTTATTTATTTGTTTCTTCTGTCTTTTCTTCAGGGTCCTCAAGGAGAACCTGGGCGTGCTGGTCCAGCGGTAAGTTTTTTTGTTTGTTGTTTGTTTGTATGGTTGTTGTTGTTTGTTTTACATAGCTGGGCTTTTTTCTTTAACTGTTTTTAGTGTGAAATTTCTATTAGTATATTTTTAGTGCTATAGACCTGTTAAAGCTTTACTTGCTGAAAGCTTGGTCACTCAGTTGCTGCATCAAAGATTCTGTCAGTTATATATCTGGTACCCCTTTAGCTTGATCACTCAGTTGCTGAATCAAAGATTCTGTCAGTTATATATCTGATACCCCTTTAGCTTGGTCACTCAGTTGCTGCATCAAAGATTCTGTCAGTTATATATCTGATACCCCTTTAGCTTGATCACTCAGTTGCTGCATCAAAGATTCTGTCACTTTTATATTTGGTACACGTTGAAATCCCACTTGGGAACTTTAGCACCATTTTGGGGTGGGGTGAGAGAGAATAGACCATCTGTAACTGGCTCAATAATTATGTTTTAGTTAAAACTGAATGTGTTAGGCTCAAACGCACAGATGTCACAGCTTAACTATAAACCACAAAATGTTTTAACTGCCCTTTTATGGATGGACAGAGAAGAAACAAAATAGCCGGCTTTGAACAGAGGAGCGCATTGGGGAGGATACTAGCCTTATCCTAGCAAGAGAAAATGCAACTTGAAAACTTTATGTTATGGCAGGAGAGACCAGGCCCTTATAGACTTGGCTGGCAACAAACAACACTACCAGCTTGAGATTTCACATTACAGCATACCCCTTTTAGACTTGGCTGGCAACAAACAACACTACCAGCTTGAGATTTCACATTACAGCATACCCCTTTTAGACTTGGCTGGCAACAAACAACACTACCAGCTTGAGATTTCACATTACAGCATACCCCTTTTAGACTTGGCTGGCAACAAACAACACTACCAGCTTGAGATTTCACGTTACAGCATACCCCTTATAGACTTGGCTGGCAACAAACAACACTACCAGCTTGAGATTTCACATTACAGCATACCCCTTATAGACTTGGCTGGCAACAAACAACACTACCAGCTTGAGATTTCACATTACAGCATACCCCTTATAGACTTGGCTGGGCAACAAAACAACACTACCAGCTTGAGATTTCACATTACAGCATACCCCTTTTAGACTTGGCTGGCAACAAACAAAATAGCCGGCTTTGCCAGCTTGAGATTTCACATTAAGACAGCATACCCCTTATAGACTTGGCTGGCAACAAACAACACATACCAGCTTGAGATTTCACATTACAGCATACCCCTTAAAGACTTGGCTGGCAACCCCTTAAACTTGGCTGGCAACAAACAACACTACCAGCTTGAGATTTCACATTACAGCATACCCCTTATAGACTTGGCTGGCAACAAACAACACTACCAGCTTGAGATTTCACATTACAGCATACCCCTTATAGACTTGGCTGGCAACAAACAACACTACCAGCTTGAGATTTCACATTACAGCATACCCCTTATAGACTTGGCTGGCAACAAACAACACTACCAGCTTGAGATTTCACATTACAGCATACCCCTTATAGACTTGGCTGGCAACAAACAACACTACCAGCTTGAGATTTCACATTACAGCATACCCCTTATAGACTTGGCTGGCAACAAACAACACTACCAGCTTGAGATTTCACATTACAGCATACCAGGCAGCCGAGCTCACCCTGGTTTGGCCACAAATCATCTGTTAAACCACAGGATCTAGCGACACAAAGCAGATATCAACAAGAGGAAAGGAGATGCTGTAACCTTTTCATCTGATCTGCACCTCAGGGGAAGTTACCAGGCGATCTGGCTGATGTTGAACACTCAAGGTCAAGGTGAGATGGATGTACAGGCAGACAGTTACTGGTGCTATCGAAATTTGGAACTCTTCACTTGCTACTGAAGATGAGGACATAGTGCTTATAGGAATATTCTTAGTGCTATGATGTTGATTCAGAATTCAACATTCAAGGAGGAGAAAATGTTGAAGAGGAAATAAGAATTTTCTTTTTTGTTTACTTTTCTTTAATCAAATAATTATTGTGATGTTGAAAACCTCCAACTGTATGCTTGTTTCAGGGACCACCAGGACAGTCTGTGTATGCTGCAGCATTGCAAGGCTACCCAAGGCCAAAACAAAGAGATCCTTACCTTGTGAGTTGTGCATCACCCTTCCACGCCTCTGTTTCTGTTTTGCAACATAAGACCTTCTCTTTCTTCTTCACATTCACAGGGTGTAAACTCGGGTGGAAAGTCCTGGTTGTTCATCCACTTCTGGACTTTGGTGTTGCTCCGCAACTTGAGTTTTGCATGCACATATATTTTACAATTCTGGCCTATATGTATCACACCATTAGTACATGGTCTCTCAGGCATATGTATTCGTCTTTAAAGAAAACAGCCCCAGTTTGTTGACTTTTACAACATGCTTGTTAAGGGGCTCCCCCTCCCCCCTCCCCTCCCTTAATGGGACCCACACTAGGAGCACATAAATGTCAAATAATAGTGATGGAGTAGCAGTAAACCAGCCTAGCCTCATGGAAAACTGAAGTTTTTTGTTGATATGTAATTAATTGAGCTAGTTACAACCAGAAATGTCACAAACTTTGAATATATAGGCTCTATAATAAACAATGGAGACTGTTCGACAGAAATTAAAAGGAGGAAAGATTGAACAGCCTTAAAAGTCTATGGTTAATCACCAGCAAGGAGATAAAAATTAGAATTTTGAGAGCATGCATCTTCCCTGTGGCTACATACGGATGTGAGTCGTGGACTATCTCTCAGTCCTTAAGAAAGATAATAGGGGCTTTTGAGTTGAAAGGCTATAGAAAGATTTTCAGAATATCTTGGACAAAGAAGAGAAATATTGACATCTTAAAAGATCTGAACATTAAGGAAGATTGGCTAATAAACAGCATCCTTTCTCGAAAGCTGAAATATTTTGGTCATATCAAGCGCCACGGCGTATTGGAAAAAATTATAACCGAAGGCATGGTACCAAGAAGGAGGGGCAGGGGCCGACCGACACGAAGATGGGCACAGGATATAAGTGACTCCTTGAGTGTGAAAGTTCATGAGGCGGGAGAGCTGGCGAGAGACCAAGTTTCTTTCAGGTAGACAGTGATGAGAGTGACGTTCTGCAAAGGACCTGCTACATGATGATGATGATAAGTTACAACCAAAGAGGTTTTTTGTGTGTGTTTTTTTTTTTTTTTAGAAAGGAAAACAGATGCCTGGACTCATCACTGTCTTTAAAAATGCTTTTACTAAAAGAAAAAAAGTGTCTGTTACACAAGTGCTGAAAATAATGATGCCTAAACAAAAGGTTGCATACTGCTAGAAACAATGCTCTGATTACAACATATCAAGACTGTGTTAATAATTGTGTAAACATTTATCTACGATACATGAATGCTTTAAGGTTAGATTGAGAAGGACTAAACAACATATAGAATGTCTATTCCCTGTATGGGTTCTGGGGTCCCATTATGGAAAAGACAAGAACAGACCCGCGGCCTCCTCAACAGGCATGTCTGCAGTGTCGACTAATTGGGGGCTTCCTTTGAAGTCAGAGTATATCTTTCCAAGAGGCAAGGAACAACGAGCTGCACAAAAATAAGCCAGTAAAACAGATGTTCATGCAAAACTGAGGCCCTGGCATGAAGCCGTAGTTCAAATAGATGAACAGAAAGGACCTTCTGGTGTAGCTTGCAGCTGGTGAACAAAAAAAAATATGAATGTCTATAAATATCAGGGCAGAAGAAAGACTAAGAAAGACTATATATTTATTACATGCACACCATAAGATGGAAGATAGAAGTCATTTGTATACTTCAAAGTGGAAGAGGAAGGACTAAAATTGACCATAAATAAATAAAAATTTCAAATAAAGAGAGACAGCTACATTGATGAGGTCAAAAATTTCCCCAAAAACTGTTGCAACAGAGTACATATTGTATATATATTTCACATTTTGTATGGTAACTTTATGTATATAGACATAATTTTTGTTAGGTGTACAATTGTTATCACAAGTTGAATAAGAACAGTGTTGAAAAATATAAATTACAACCTGTTAGTTAAAACAGAATTCAATCATAAGTTAAGGAGAAACTGTACCTTGCTGTGAAACAGTACATATTTTACAATATTAACTGAATACCTTGTAACACTCTGCTTATCAAACATTCATTAAGTGAATTATTGTAAGACAATACATATCAGACATTAATTAAGTGAATTATTGTAAGACAATACATATCAGACATTCATTAAGTGAATTATTGTGAGACAATACAAATCATACATTCATTAAGTGAATTATTGTAAGACAATACATATCAGACATTCATTAAGTGAATTATTGTAAGACAATACAAATCAGATATTCATTAAGTGAATTATTGTGAGACAATACATATCAGACATTCATTAAGTGAATTATTGTAAGACAATACATATCAGACATTCATTAAGTGAATTATTGTAAGACAATACATATCAGACATTCATTAAGTGAATTATTGTAAGACAATACATATCAGACATTCATTAAGTGAATTATTGTGAGACAATACATATCAGACATTCATTAAGTGAATTATTGTGAGACAATACATATCAGACATTCATTAAGTGAATTATTGTGAGACAATACATATCAGACATTAATTAAGTGAATTATTGTAAGACAATACATATCAGACATTAATTAAGTGAATTATTGTAAGACAATACATATCAGACATTAATTAAGTGAATTATTGTAAGACAATACATATCAGACATTAATTAAGTGAATTATTGTAAGAAAATACATATCAGACATTCATTAAGTGAATTATTGTGAGACAATACATATCAGACATTCATTAAGTGAATTATTGTAAGACAATACAAATCGGACATTCATTAAGTGAATTATTGTAAGACAATACATATCAGACATTCATTAAGTGAATTATTGTAAGACAATACATATCAGACATTCATTAAGTGAATTATTGTGAGACAATACATATCAGACATTCATTAAGTGAATTATTGTGAGACAATACATATCAGACATTCATTAAGTGAATTATTGTGAGACAATACATATCAGACATTAATTAAGTGAATTATTGTAAGACAATACATATCAGACATTAATTAAGTGAATTATTGTAAGACAATACATATCAGACATTAATTAAGTGAATTATTGTAAGACAATACATATCAGACATTAATTAAGTGAATTATTGTAAGAAAATACATATCAGACATTCATTAAGTGAATTATTGTGAGACAATACATATCAGACATTCATTAAGTGAATTATTGTAAGACAATACAAATCGGACATTCATTAAGTGAATTATTGTAAGACAATACATATCAGACATTCATTAAGTGAATTATTGTAAGACAATACATATCAGACATTCATTAAGTGAATTATTGTAAGACAATACATATCAGACATTCATTAAGTGAATTATTGTGAGACAATACATATCAGACATTCATTAAGTGAATTATTGTAAGACAATACATATCAGACATTCATTAAGTGAATTATTGTAAGACAATACATATCAGACATTCATTAAGTGAATTATTGTAAGACAATACATATCAGACATTAATTAAGTGAATTATTGTGAGACAATACATATCAGACATTAATTAAGTGAATTATTGTAAGACAATACATATCAGACATTAATTAAGTGAATTATTGCAAGACAATACATATCAGACATTAATTAAGTGAATTATTGTAAGACAATACATATCAGACATTAATTAAGTGAATTATTGTAAGACAATACATATCAGACATCATCATCATGTGACTTATGTCTAGGGTGATGCTCCGAAAGAAGATAAAACACGTAACACCATTGAAGCTCTGAAGGAGGTTGCGGCCGAGATCAAGAAACTGAGAAAGCCGACAGGGGAACACAAAGCTCCAGGAAGAACTTGCAGGGAACTTGCAGCAGTGGCTGAGGCACCACTGAGTAACGGTGAGTCTCTAGACTGTCTGTTTTGTGCATTGTGTATTGCAGTATAAGTGGGGCATGTGCTGTGTGTATTACAGTATAAGTGGGGCATGTGCTGTGTGTATTGTAGTTTAAGTGGGGCATGTGCTGTGTGTATTGTAGTATAAGTGGGACATGTGCTGTGTGTATTGCAGTATAAGTGGGGCATGTGATGTGTGTATTGTAGTATAAGTGGGGCATGTGCTGTGTGTATTGCAGTATAAGTGGGGCATGTGCTGTGTGTATTGTAGTATAAGTGGGACATGTGCTGTGTGTACTGCAGTAAAAGTGGGGCATGTGCTGTGTGTATTGCAGTATAAGTGGGACATGTGCTGTGTGTATTGCAGTATAAGTGGGACATGTGCTGTGTGTATTGTAGTATAAGTGGGACAAGTGCTCTGTGTATTGCAGTATAAGTGGGGCATGTGCTGTGTGTATTGTAGTATAAGTGGGGCATGTGCTGTGTGTATTGCAGTATAAGTGGGGCATGTGCTGTGTGTATTGTAGTATAAGTGGGGCATGTGCTGTGTGTACTGCAGTAAAAGTGGGGCATGTGCTGTGTGTATTGCAGTATAAGTGGGGCATGTGCTGTGTGTATTGTAGTATAAGTGGGGCATGTGCTGTGTGTACTGCAGTATAAGTGGGGCATGTGCTGTGTGTATTGTAGTATAAGTGGGGCATGTGCTGTGTGTATTGTAGTATAAGTGGGGCATGTGCTGTGTGTACTGCAGTAAAAGTGGGGCATGTGCTGTGTGTACTGCAGTATAAGTGGGGCATGTGCTGTGTGTACTGCAGTATAAGTGGGGCATGTGCTGTGTGTACTGCAGTATAAGTGGGGCATGTGCTGTGTGTATTGCAGTATAAGTGGGGCATGTGCTGTGTGTATTGCAGTATAAATGGGACCTGTGCTGTGTGTATTGTAGTATAAGTGGGGCATGTGCTGTGTGTATTGTAGTATAAGTGGGGCATGTGCTGTGTGTATTGCAGTATAAGTGGGGCATGTGCAGTGTGTATTGCAGTATAAGTGGGGCATGTGCTGTGTGTACTGCAGTAAAAGTGGGGCATGTGCTGTGTGTACTGCAGTATAAGTGGGGCATGTGCTGTGTGTATTGTAGTATAAGTGGGGCATGTGCTGTGTGTACTGCAGTATAAGTGGGGCATGTGCTGTGTGTATTGTAGTATAAGTGGGGCATGTGCTGTGTGTACTGCAGTAAAAGTGGGGCATGTGCTGTGTGTATTGCAGTATAAGTGGGGCATGTGCTGTGTGTATTGTAGTATAAGTGGGACCTGTGCTGTGTGTATTGTAGTATAAGTGGGGCATGTGCTGTGTGTATTGTAGTATAAGTGGGGCATGTGCTGTGTGTATTGTAGTATAAGTGGGGCATGTGCTGTGTGTATTGCAGTATAAGTGGGGCATGTGCTGTGTGTATTGCAGTATAAGTGGGGCATGTGCTGTGTGTATTGCAGTATAAGTGGGGCATGTGCTGTGTGTATCGCAGTATAAATGGGACCTGTGCTGTGTGTATTGTAGTATAAGTGGGGCATGTGCTGTGTGTATTGTAGTATAAGTGGGGCATGTGCTGTGTGTATTGCAGTATAAGTGGGGCATGTGCTGTGTGTATTGTAGTATAAGTGGGGCATGTGCTGTGTGTACTGCAGTAAAAGTGGGGCATGTGCTGTGTGTATTGCAGTATAAGTGGGGCATGTGCTGTGTGTATTGTAGTATAAGTGGGGCATGTGCTGTGTGTACTGCAGTAAAAGTGGGGCATGTGCTGTGTGTATTGCAGTATAAGTGGGGTATGTGCTGTGTGTATTGTAGTATAAGTGGGGCATGTGCTGTGTGTATTGCAGTATAAGTGGGGCATGTGCTGTGTGTATTGCAGTATAAGTGGGACATGTGCTGTGTGTATTGCAGTATATGTGGGACATGTGCTGTGTATATCGTAATATAAGTAGGACAGATGTTGTGTGTAGGGTAAGACAAGTGGGACATGTGCTGTGTGTATGTTAATGTAAGTGGAACATGTGATGTATTTATAGAAACATAATTGGGACCTGTGCTCTTGCATAGCAACATAAGTGTGACTTGTGCTGTTGAATAGCAACATAAATGTTTTGTGTATGGTAAGATTAGTAAGACACATGCTCTTGTATAGCAACAAAAGTGGGACATGTGTTCTTTCTTGTGTAGCAACATATGTGGGACATGTGCTGTTGTATAGCAACAAAAGTGGGAAGCGTGTTATGTGTGTGGTAAGATAAGTGGGACGCGTGTTATGTGTGTGGTAAGATAAGTGGGACATAACTATAAATATAGGAAGAGGAAAAGGTGGTGTGGAACAAATAAAATAATGAATGACCAAAGAATAGTAATAATATAACCTAAGAAATGGGATTAATAATATATGTTTGTGTCTATTGCGTGCCATGGTCTGCCATGACACAAGTGCCCCTTATGCTTAACATCATAGCACCTGATGATGATGTCATCATTATCATCATGACCAGATTTATCTAGAAATTAAACATCACTAATGGCAACTGTTGATATTTCAGGCATGTACTGGATCGATCCCAATGGTGGTGGTATTGCAGACGCCATCGAAGTCTTCTGCAGCTTCGAGGATGCAGTAGATAAGACACAGACATGTCTGGTTCCACAAGTTGAAGAGGTCAGTGAACTTTGAACTAGTCATATTTGAACACTGCCTGGGTAAATTTTGATACATGTTCCCCTTTTTCTTATAATCCATGCTGTGTGGCGTTGGTAGTCATGTCTTTTATCCACAACCTTCTGCCTCTTGTACTTTCAGTCATTTCTGACACAGATAATATTTTATGCTATAAAGCCTGTGTTATCTTCATCAAGTTCTCAGAGTAGATATATTTGTTATTTTATATTTATATATCCTGTAATTATTTATTTAAGACAGATTTGTAATTATATTGTTTCTTATATTGCTAGAGGGGAAATAATCACTGTGAAATGTTTCTCTTTTGGGAAAGAAAAACAAACATCTTATTCAACTGTTTGTGTAGCTTTGGCTATATTTGTGATTCCTAAGGTAGTAAAATGCTGGCTAATATGTTGGCCTGCCTACCTGGTGGACACAGTTTTGTATCTAAAGTAAATTCTAAACAATTACCTGCTATCAACAGTCAACCAAGCCAAAAACTGGCATCAGACAAGTTGAGCTGAAAACTGGGTACATATCACAAACCTGCCCCCATCTCGCTAGAGTGCGAGATTTCCAGTTGGCTGTGGCCATTCCCACGAGCTGTTATATGTTCAGTGGGTGTCATGTTGTGTTATTTTCAATGCTGTAAGCATTCTTTACTCCATGTTGTGAGCAGCCAGCAGCACGTTTATTCCCCCCCCCCCTGTTTTTTTGTCAGCAGGCGTGGCACTGTGTATGTTCAGTGCTCCAACATGTCCACAATTCTCAAACCACTGATGGTTGCATAAGAGACTTAGTGTACAGCAAAATGAAAACTTAGTTGAACACTTGCCATACACCCACAAAAACAAACAACTGATGGTTGCACAAGAGACTTAGTGTACAGCAAAATGAACACTTAGTTTAACACTTGCCATACACCCACAAAAACAAGCAACAACTGATGGTTGCATAAGAGACTTAGTGTACAGCAAAATGAACACTTAGTTTAACACTTGCCATACACCCACAAAAACAAACAACAACTGATGGTTGCACAAGAGACTTAGTGTACAGCAAACTGAAAACTTAGTTTAACACTTGCCATGCACCCACAAAAACAAACAACAACTAATGGTTGCATAAGAGACTTAGTGTACAGCAAAATGAAAACTTAGTTGAACACTTGCCATGCACTCACAAAAACAAAACAAAAAAGCAACAGAAAGTCAACTTCTTGCTCAATGCCACCTGTCAAGAATTTCCACACAGTTTATATAGACGATAAAACAGGAAAAGGAACAAATATGCTAAAACCCCTACTACACAGAAACAGCCCATAGAAATGGCCATGGCATTAATGGGAGAAGAGTACAAATGTGGCGTGCCACAGAGATGCGGGCAGGTTTGTGCTCCATCAATTGAAGAGTTCCAGTACCACTGGTTGTTGCAGTTTAATTATATGTCTATCTTGTCGTTCCTCTGGTTGTCAGCCATATCTCCTGGTCACTTCCCACTCCCTCATCCTTCCCGGACTTCAGTGATCTTATGCACTTCTGCATTGTTCACTTTCTTTCAAAGGGCCTTGACCACATCTGGCTTGTCATGCATCAGTTCACCACCTAGTAGGGTAGAATCAGCCTGTCTGTCTGCCTATTCAATTCCCAACACATCTGCATACCTCAGTACCCAAATATTTTATGGGAAGTAAAAGTGTCTGACATAATATTGACACGTTTATTCATCAGTTGCCAATATGACACAAGCACAATATGTCCAGTACATCCATTTGCCTCACTACTTCTTTTTAAAAATGTGATTGTTTCCCTTCTTTTCGTCATCCAAGAAAAAATAGTATTACAGCTACCATTTCTTGTCATAAGACAGTGTTTGTAATGTTGCTGTTGCCTTCTTCTAGTTTCCCAAGAAAAACTGGTTCACGACAAAGCCCACAGATGAGGAGTTTGCCATGTTTGCAGAGACATTTGATGAATCTCAGGTATCTTTTTGTTTTTGTCATCATTGTCGTCATCATTATCATCATCATTTTTATTTTTTTTGGGTCCCCCAACTACTCATAGGTAAACACATTGTATTTTGATTTACAGCTAGGCTGCGATATTTTTTGCCTTTTTTTAATTTCAGCATATCCACAGTTAATCTTATTTTATGACTTGCCTGTTTGGGGTGTAGTGAGTCAATGGCACTGTTCAGCAGGCCACTTGCTAGACCTCTGTGGGCCAGATGTAGCCCACAGGACTGCCAGTTGAGTAGTCCTGGTCTCTGTCAACATGAGTCTAGTACCACATGCACGACAGTCTTCCTTTAAAAAAATTCTTTCAAAAGAAAATCATCTCATAAAAGTTTACTAACAACCTAAGAATAAATTATTCATCATTCTTTCCTAGACTGAATAATTTCCCAGGTCTGATTGTGTTTCTTCAGTTCTCCTACAGGACCCACAAGTCTCAGATCAAGTTCCTGCATCACCTAACCAAGAAGTCAGTCCAACAGATCACAATCCACTGCCGGAACATCGTGGCCGTGTTCGACAGCAAAAACAACACCTATGAAAATGCTCTGATGCTGACCAGCTTTGATGATGAAGATATGACCTACAATGGGAAGAAGTCGTTCAGATACAAAGTTATAGAGGATACCTGCAAGGTAAAACAGAGATTTGACCTGTATGTGTGTTAGATAGGGCAGGTGTGTCCTTAAGGAAGAAAATAGGGGCTTTTGGGGCTGAAATGTTATAGAAATTCAGAGTGTCATGGATAAAAAGGTCAAGAAATACTAACATCCTAAAAGATCCGCCAAGGAAGATTTCCTAGTCAACAGCATCTTGTCTTGGGAACTGAAATATTTTGCCATATCAGGCACATCGATAGATAGAAGAAAAAAAAAAGCAGAAGGTACCAGGAAAGAAGAGGATGGGCCAGCCATCTTAAAGACAGGCACAGGATATAAAGGACAACTTAAGTATAAAAATGAATGAGGTGGGGAAAGTTGGTGAGAGACCATTTTTGTCAGGCAAACCGTGATGAGAGCGACATTCTACAAAGGACCTGTTACATGATGATGATGGGCTGGCATTTGGAAATTAATAGATATACTAGGTATGAGGAAGCGATGTGTATTAGTAGTTTGTGAAGACATTGGTATTAGAGTCTGTTTTTTTGTTGTTGTTGTTGTTGTTGTTGTTGTTTTATTGTTGCTGCTGATAAAGTTTTTGTCAGCTATGGAAAATATTTTGCTGATTATCACTCTTATTATGCTCAGCCTGACAAATGTTCACCTTCCTCCCCCTTCCCCTCTTCCTCCCAAACCCCCAATGTTTGTTTTAATGAGTCTATCAATTGGGAAAGGGGGGGGGGACATACTGTGATCCTCGTATATGACAAATTGTTAAGTTTTGTACCAGCTAAATCAAATAAAAATGTCTGCCAATACTTATGATTTTGATCTGCTCTTGTCTACAGGACAGGAATGATGAATGGGGTGCAGCTGTTCTGGAAATCCGAGGCAAGGAGCATGGTATGCAGCGAGTGCCTATCCTAGACGTGGGTCTGAAGGATGTTGGCGGCAGTGATCAGGAATTTGGCATAGAACTAGGCAAAGCCTGTTTTGGTATCTGAGGCACTAATCTGTTTCTATGTTTCTGTTTCTTAAATTTAAATTACATTGTCTCAAAAATCTGGTCTTTTGCTACACCACATAAAAGTAAAATCATTGAGGGTTTTGTCCCCTCAAAAAGTTATGGCAGCGAGGCATTTATTGCCAGTTGTTACTCAATATTGAAGATGTTTTAGATGGTACATCATTTTATTTATAAATATGTGAAGTATTGTAAAAAAAAACCTGGTAATTGTCAAGTGTCAGTGAATTTGGAGTTACAATGAGAATGAAGTTGTGAACAGATTCACAGTGGATGGTTTGCTATCAGAATTGGAGTTACAGATAAACTTACAGTGGATGCTTTGATTTATGTAAAGAGTTACAAACATATTTACATTGAATGGTTTGTTACCAAAATTGGAGTTACAGACAGACTTAAAGTGGATGGTTTGATACCAAATTGGAGTTACAGACAGACTTAAAGTGGATGGTTTGATACCAAAATTGGAGTTACAGACAGACTTAAAGTGGATGGTTTAGTATCATGCATGTAGTTAAAATTAAATTTATAATTGGTGATGCAATATGGAAAGAGACAAAATAAAAGATATTTAAATACGAAACTTTATGCTATAATTTCTGTCATTCTGTGATCTGTTAGAAAACTTGTTTCTTGAATGTTGTTTATTAACAAATGAAGAATATTTTGTGCATGGTTTTATGTGTTTTCCTGTTATTAACTACATTAACAGTGACCAAAATATGGGGTTGTATCGCAGCATTTGGTGTCTAGATGTAAATGGTATGCCCATATGATATTTTATTACCTTTTATTACAGATAGAAAGTAACAGACTCTGTTGTTCATCTTTGATTGTCGAACATGAAGCAATAAGAAACTGAGTTGAATTAAGAACCAGCATCACAAAACTTGTAACAACTTGGAACATCTCCATAAGCACTCTGTCCCTATCTCCAGCAGCCAGTGGCGAGTTCCAGTTTTGATGGTAGCAGCCGCAGTCTGCTTGTATGTCTATGTTACCTTTTTGTCTGAGTGATAGCCAGACCTCTTTGGCCACTCCCCGCTGCACCATTCTTTACAGATTGGGATGATTTATGTGTACTTCTGCTATTTCCACTCACTTCCAAAATACCTTGACCGGGTGTAGCTTGTCAAGCATTATTTCACAACCCAGTGGTGCAGAATCAGTCAGTCTATCTGCCTTTTGATTTCCCAGCATTGCACTGGTAACTAAGTGAGACTTCTTGAATGATACTTACCACTCTACACATATCACGCCTGCCTTCAGAAAGAAATGATGCTTGTTCTCACAAAGCTGTTATCAGTCACTTTACTAACTTTTACACCATTCTCTGTGTCCAAGGTTCGAAACATTTTTTTGTGTGTGGTATAAAGTGCCAGGCTTTTGGACTTCTATGTATTTCCACACCCGACCACAGATTCCCCCTTTATTGAACATCTTAGTTTGTTTTCAGTGAATTCATTTCTTGAAATAAGAATTAGCCTGCTATATTTTTTCAATCATTCACCTGGGTTGGTCCAGATAGGATCACGTGAAATGACTTTGTGGGCTTCAAATGGCTTTTCATGAAACTAAAATACTATCTGTAAATTTTTTTAACTCAGTTGTTGACATGACTTTACATGACAGTGAGTACTTTCAGTAGCGAGATTTTTTTCTGGCTGTTGAGATGGGAGACAGAGCTAACATGGGCTTGCCCTGAGTGTTGTGATGTCAAAACTTGACCTAGATGAATCCAGTGACCTGCCAAGTTGGCTGTTGTTGTTATACTGTTTTAATTTCTCTTGACTTGTGTTTACATTTAGAACACACTCAACATACCTACATTTTAACGAAATTATATTGTTTACACACTGAAAACATTTACAACAGTCATGTCTGAAAGTCTGTTTTCTGTTAACAGCCATAGAATGTTGCGGTAAATTAGTCTTGGATTTGTTTGTGAATCAAAGCTCATATCATTAAGTCTTTCTCTAGCTCTAGCATTCTGTGTAAATTTATAATTCTATAAATTAAGCCTATCTTATACAGAATTCAAGTCAATATTTCTATGCATTTTTGTGCAAATAAATGTAATGTCTTCCTTGTAACTGTTTGACTGGTTGAGACTTTTTTAAACTACATTATATTGTTTTAGTTCATCATTGATCCAACTGCATGAATCAGCTTTTTTCTAAGCTTTGTTTAATTGTTTTTTCTTAGTTTGTGTACATATGTTTTGAATATACACATTATTTCATTCTCTTCCATTTGATATTTTTTGTGTGGGGGTCTTGTTTTTTTAAACTGATCTTTTGTTGTGTTTAAGAGTTCTTATGCAATATAGCCCTGTTGTGTAATATTTATGTGCATACCAATAAGAAATATACACAGTCATCAGATGGGTACTATTAATTTAGTTATAATGACACACCTGTTCTGAGAAGTTGTGAGAATGAAGGCAGATCAGATACCAGCCTGTGTCTACAAGCAAAATTCTGGTTAGAGAGCTGGAGGAATATCAAGTTGCTAATTGACAGATTCTATGAAGGACCTATTCCACAAACTCGGTGACATATTTTGTTCATTGTCAAGAACTTCAACTCTTTTCCTAGCCTAATAATGGAAAATGTGAAACATGAATAACCATATGAGGATAGATGGATAGACAAGCAGGTGTATAGACAGTAAATGAAACAAACAGAAAAGTAGATACACAGGAATATAGGGCTGTGTTTAGGGTTATGACTCCCTGTTCAGTCACTCATGTTACGCCCTTCTTTCCTCAGCTAAACTTCAGTGTGGCCTAGTCATTATCAGACTGTCAACAAGTTGTGGATCACTTAAATAGAACCTCACAGAAATATAGCTGACGGTAACTAGACAGAAACAAATAGTATTCTGACAGTAGGCATAACTACAGTAGATAAACTGACAGATAGTAGGTGTAACATACAAAAGACAAACTGAAAGACAGTATGCATAACATACAGTAGACACACAGAAGGCGTAACATACAGCAGACAAATTGACAGACAGTAGGCATAACACACAGTAGACAAAATGACAGACAGTATGCATAACATACAGTAGACAAACTGACAGACAGTAGGCATAACATACAGTAGACAAACTCATTGAAATTAAACAGACCAATAAATAGATTATTTAACAAAAGAGAAACAAAATTATTAATATCATACCGACTGTATAAACCATTTTATACAACTGATCATGAAATACATGACCCGCCTTTATTCACATATGCTTTTATGCTGAATCTATCTATAGTATACAAATGACTTCAATTTTTTCATTATAAAAATACATTTCACATAACATTTTTTTAGTAGAGCCATTTTTTTCTTAGATTTGTCTTATATGTTAAATATATTATTTCATAACATGTATTAATTCCGTCCAGATGTCTGCCAGTTTTTATTTTTCAGCAGTTTTTGTCCAGCTCTAAAAAAAGAATTAAAGAATTATCACAGTACATATTCTGGCTCTTGTTTTTTTTTTTTTTAATCAGTGTCATCATCTTTTTGTAAACTAACAGGAAGTGCTGACACTGTGCTTTTGTGTGTTGTGTTGACTGTTATTGTTTTTGTAATTAATGTTACAGTTGGTAAGGCTGTTGTTATTTTTTGTTTCTGGCTGTTTTCAAGTTGTTATTGTTGTTGCTATTTTTGTGGATGTTATTTTGTTTGTTCATATTGTTTACGATTTTGTTGATTTTATGTGTGTGTGTGTGGCTAAACATGTATTTATTGCAGTCTTACTTAAACCATAAACATATTTATGTAAATTAATTGCACAAGCAAATCCTCCAATTCCAATTCTAAAATGAGTTGAGTTGAGTCACGAATTGACATCAAAGCATTCAGGGCATTCCCATGTGTGCTCCATCCTCTTATTCAGCAGCCAGTGCAGATTTCCAGTTCTGATAGTGCCGGTCATAATCTGGTTATATGTCCGTCTTGCCTTTCCTCTGAGTATAGTGAGCCGGCCAGACCCTCTGGTTACATGCAGGTGCCACATTCTCTCCGGGCCATAATAATCTTCTTTTTCCAAGCTCAACGCATCATCACACTCAAGCGTTTTGCTTACTGGAATTGGGGATCATGCAAACACTACAGCTTGCAATGTTCAGTATCATATATGAGCTCATGTTTCTTCAAGCCACAAGGAGAGGTTTTCAAGAATATTCTCAGGCTGTCTTCCTCTGCCACTCTTTAAACAAATGTTTCCTCTTACTACATGCTCCAGTTTCTTCTTCCCCTTTTAGATTAGACTGTTTAGACGAGGGATCAAGATCATGGCACAAGGGTGCTCTGTTCTACTTCTGACTCAAGCCTGAGTCTGAAGAATCAGCGCAGTGCACTATCTCCTTAGCACTGGCGAGGATCCTGAAATACTTTTGATAGATTTGTGACTCCAAATTTGGCCTGGGCAGCGCCGTTAGGCTACTCTTTTTTGATTCCCATTTGCCAAGGTATTTTTAATGTGCGCAACAATACACATGGGTGTCCAATCTTACTAGCCAGAGACCAGGGAAAATTACTAAAAGTCCATATGAAAAAAAATCCTAGTCTTCACTGGGACTTGAACCCCGGACCTCTAGCACTTGAGGCAGACAGCATGCCTCAAGACCACTCTTGACCCAGCCTATCCAACTTAGCCAGCAATTATTGTTGTCACTATTTAATGTTATAATTTTTCCCTCTTTCAAAAACATTAGTCCCTTTGGCATCCAATTAATTTTAAGTATTTTTTTGTAAAATCACATCAATGAGGCCAAACTATTTATGTTCAGCTTCTTCACTGACTGTAGGATTCAGTCCAGTGTTAACACTTGGTTAGTACATTGTTAACTGCTCATTGTTCATTTGAAGATCCTCTTCATGAGCACATTGGACATGACCATAAATTCTCCAGTCTCCTCCTGAGTATGTCTCCATGTGTTTTTAGGCTGACAACTCCTATTCTGTTCTAGCT